GGAGCCCTCTTGGGCTCTCTTGGGGGCCTCTTGGTACGTCGTGTGAGCACCTTGTCACCGGAGCTCCAGTTCGTCATCACTGATGGCGGCGAGCTTGCGGAGGGTTCGTATGGGACGTCGTGGGGCGGTTTGGGGCGATCTTGGGGGCCTTGGACCGTCTTCCGAACAGGCGAGAACGCTAAGCTCATTGGAAAACCCTTAAAACATCAACGAGGTTGGCATCCTTGAGGTTCTCTTGGAGCCCTCGTGGGGGCCGTCTTGAGGCGATAGATTGGGTCGTCGTGGGTGCAGATTGTGCCGTCATGGGTGCATCTTGGGCCCTCTTGGGGCCATCTTGGCCGTTCTGGAGGCGTCTTCTTGTAGGCCATCTTGGCCGTCTTGGGGATATCTGTTGTGGACGATGAGGTCTGGTCTGGTCCTTCCGCGCGGCCGGCGGGTCCGGCCGAGACCCCATGGGGAGCTGTTAAGAAACCAAAGCAACTTTGTGGCAAGCCACAGGGGTCGTAGGATCCAGTGGACTTCTGCCCACCCCGCAACCGTGCCTGGATTGTAGGTCAAAGGCCTCTTGAATGCCTGTGGAGATCTCTTGGGATTTTTTCGGAACCCTCTTGGAGACTGTTTGGAAGTGCCTTGGGGCCTCTTGGGACCCCTTGGGTTAGGACCTGGGGCTTCTTAGGGGCCTCTTGGGGGCCTGCTGGCGGTCTCGGGGGTCATCTTTGGGCGGAGCGCTCGACATGTCAGTTCGAGATCTGCTGCATGTAGCTGGTTTTGCCCCGCCGCCGGGCGCCTTCCTCGAGACATTGGCCCCTCCTGGCGCTGGAGGGCGCCAGGGAAATCAGCTACTTGAGCTGATTTGCGCCCCCCCCCCCCCCCTTGCTACCCCCTCTCTCGTCCGACCCGAGTCTTGGAGCGTCGGAATCCCCCAAAGGCGAGAACGCCCAAATCTGCCCAAATCATTTGGAACATCAGTCATATTTGTCTCTCCTAGCGTTACAGAAGCCCATATCCGCTGCCCGACGGTGTGTTGCCTCTAACGCCCAAGCCAGCACAGGCATTTGCCACCAGAAATTTGGTATCGTTTCGACGTGTGCATATTCTCTCGGCGAAGACCATCGAGGAGCATCTTGACTCATCGGGTGAAACATCTACGCACGACATCGAAACATGCACAGGCAATGGACGCCCAAGCGATGGCGAGGAACCGACATGCCAATCGGCCCCTCGTCTGGCCGGGCCTGGAGCGGCAGCAAGTTCCCGGGGGGTCTGACGGTGCTCATCGGCAGTCTGCACTCGTCGCAAGCATGGTCGGGTGCCGGATTGGGTCCTGCGCGGCGCCACTCGGCGGAGAGGCCTTCCGACCAGTTGATTGAAATCTCGCGAAGTCCCAGGAGTCCACCGAGCCCACTGCGTCCTGTAATTACCAGAAGTTCGCCTTTGGAACGCGCGCGGCCGAGACCGAGGACAGGGCTTTCTCGAATTTCTGGCCAGAGCTCTGCCCGCTGGTCGACAGCCACGTGAGCGGGAAGTCTGTCTTCAGCGGCAGCTCTGCGATCAGGGCCAGCCTTGGCAGTGGCGACGCCCCTGGGCGTGCGCGCCCCCGTGGTTCAGCGGCCCCGTGCTGTGCCCAGGAATGCGCCTGGAGTCCTCACGGCGCAGAAGCAGCAGGCAGGGCGGAGAGGGGGAGAATCGGAAGGAGTGGGTGGAGAGGTTGAAAGACAGGGAGCGAGGAGAGAAGAGGAAAGAAACTTACACTTGAGAAAACCCCAATCAGTTGACGATTTGAAAATTGTTACTATGGATCTTGAGATCGACTGTGAGATCGATTATGGGATCGATAGTGTAATCGATAGTGAGGACGATTGCACGGTCGAACGAGGGAGGGGAACTAGAATGGGGAGGTAGAGCGGAGGAGTAGAAGGAGAAAAGGGACAAGCAGGGCGGGAGTATAGACCAGGAGGAGGAGGAGGAGGAGGAGGACGGAGGGACGAGGCTGGAGGTGAGGAGGAAGGGCTGCAGCAGGATCAGGAGGAGCAGCACGGGTTGAAGGAGCAGGAGGAGGGAGAAGGGAGGACGGTGATCAGCAGCTACGGATAGAGAAGGAGGAGGAGGAGGAGGAGGAGGAGGAGGAGGAGGAGGAGGAGGGGGAGGGGAGGAGGAGGAGAAGAAAGAAAAGACGGGGAGGAAGATGATATAGTGGACGAGGGGGAGGAATAGAACGAAGGGCGTCGGAGAAAGCAGGCAGTGGAATGGAGAAGTAGGAAGATGAGGAGAAACATTCTGAGGAGCACGAGGGGCGAGAGGGAGAAAGGAGGAGGAGGAGGAGAAGGAGGAGGAGGAGGAGGAGAATAAGTGGATGGATGAGAGGGGGAAGAAGAGAGGGGAGAGGAGATGCAGGTGGGAGGTGGAAGGAGAAGGAGGAGGAGGATGGGGAGGGAGGAGGAGTGTGGGAGGAGGAGCAGGTGGAGGAAGTGGAGGAACAGAAGGAGCAGGCACTCGCCAGGCGCGCGCCCGCTGGATGTGCACTGCCTGGAGGAGTTCGTGGAGCTTGCCGCACGCTGGCGGGCGCCAGCTCCGCCTGAGCAGAGTCAGGAGCAGAAGCAGCGCATCGTCGTCGTCATGATCAGCATCGCTTGTCCCTCCACACATCCTGCTCCTCCTCCAACTCTTCCGACTAGTCATCCCCTCTTACTTATCCTACGCATCATCTTCGTAGTCCTCATCCCCCATCCCTAGCCTTCCCCACCTGTTCGCTGACATTGCATGACCGATCATGCGCTGGATCTGGCGATGTGTTTCGTATCACCCTCAAGATCTTCCCGTGCCTGTCGACATCGTGTGTTGGGTGTGTTGCCCAGTGGTCCGACTGCGGGCAGGCAGTTGCATCGCTCTTGCCCTGTTGACGCCAGCGCTGAGCGTTTATTGCAGGGAGCTCCCCGTAACGCTACCAACCGAGTCAGACATGCACCAGGGGGACTCAGCGCCCCAGAGGGATGGAGGGCTGCTAGGGTCGTCGCCACCATCAAGGTCGTCACCGTCGAGCTGCTTTGCCCGTCGAGGCCGCCAGGCCGGACCCACAGATAAATACAGATTGCTTTGCCCGTACTTGCCCGATGTGCTGTGTTATCGCTTGGTCACGTTTGTGTCTCCTGTGTCCGCCTTTCCGGCGTGGCCATTGTAGCTTCTCCTGCGCTGCTCAGCATCCCTAATTCCACTCTGTATCACTCTTCCTTGCCAGTCGATTCCTCTATCCTTTAACTCCTCCATTCACCTCACCATCCGTTCTCACTCATCCAACTCTTTGTGCATATCACCTACCATATCACCCCCATGCCCCTCCCTTCCTATCCTCCTCCACCCCCGAGCAGCTCCCTCCTCCAACTCATCGATCCTTTACATCCTCATCCCTTGTTCCCCCCCAACTCCTTGTCCTCCTTCCCCTATCCTCCTGCGGCTCGTCCTCACTCATCCCTGTTCCCTGAAGGTCTTCAGCCCTTCCCTTGCCTCTCCTCATTATGTCAACTCTTCATTCCCCTTCTCTTCTTCACCCCCGGGGCCCGTGAAATTGTTATGCCCACGCCTATCCCTTTGAAACCCCGACAGACAGTAGGCAGAGTGTTTTCCCCCTTTCCTATCCTCCATCGTCAATCCTCGCACATCCCCCGAGACTCCTACACCCTTACAGAAAATCGTGGGCAGCTATCTAGACACCCTCAGTGCCCCCCAAAGCCTTACCCCCCCCCCTGTCCCCCCTGCATCCCCCCTCCGTGTGTTGAAGTTAAGCATCTTCATCCGAGTCAACATCAACACCTCCCCTCGTCATCGTTGTCATAATCGTGACCCCCTCAATATCACCTCCTCTCTCTTCGTCCCCCCTCTTCCTCTCATCATCATAACATCATCATCCGCATATGTCTCCTCCTCTTCCCCATGCTCATAATTCCCCCCTTCCCCGGTACCCACATACTGTTCCTACGACTCTTGCTCCTTCATCCTTCCTCCTCCTCCTCCTCTTCCTCCTCCTCCTCTTCCTCCTCCCCCTCCTCCTCATCCTCATCCTCGTCCTCGTCCTCATCCTTCTCCTCCCTACTTCTTCCTTCTCCTACTCCCCCTCCTCCCCCCTCATCTTCCTCCCCATCCTCATCCTCCTCTCTCTCCTCCTCCTTCTCCCTCATCTTCCTCCTCCTCCTCCTCCTCTCCTCCTCCTCCTCCTACTCCTCCTCCTCCTCCTCCTCCTCCTCCTCCTCCTCCTACTCCTCCTCGTCCTCCTCTCTTCCTCCTCCTCCTGCTCCTCCTCCTCCTCCTCCTCCTCCTCCTCCGCCTCCGCCTCCTCCTCCTCATCATCCCCCCCCCTCTTCATCCTCCTCCGTGGCCATTTTGGCTGAAGCTCTCTTGTCTCGACCCAGCGGGTCCCAGCGCTCCCCCTGGGCCGAGCACCCACCCAGCAGCATGGCCCGCTCCCGCTCCGTGTTGACCGCCGCCCTTGCCTTCGGCGCCGCCGCCCTCCTCGCGGGCCTCGACGCCGCCGCCTTCCTGGCCCCCGCTGCGGTCAGGGGCGGCGCGGGCGGCGGGCGCGGTGGGGCGCGGCGGCGCCGCCGCCACGGCGGGCGCGGCGGCGCCCGCGGCAATCTCGGGGGCCACGCTGCTGCTGCCCCTGCTGCCCAGCGCCCAGGCCACGGTCAGCGTCTGCGCGGCGGTGGCCCGCCACGCCGAGGCGCTTGTGTCCGAGTGCGGCGAGCCGTCGGGCGTACGCCAGTTCACAGAGATGATGCTCGGCTTCCCCTCGGACATCGCCGAGAACCACCTCGGGGAGTCTTCTGCCTCGATTCTGCAATCGGGCCACGACCACTCCAGCCAGTTTCCTCTTCCTCTCCCTACTCCACCTATGACGCCTCAACCGCCTCCTCCTCCTCCTCCGCCTCCTCCTCCCTTCCCTCTTTCCTCCTCCTCCGCCTCCTCCTCCTCCGCCTCCTCCTCCTCCTCCGCCTCCTCCGCCTCCTCCTCCTCCTCTCCTCCTCTCCTCCTCCTTCGCTGCCTCGCTGGCCCCCTGGCTCATGGAGCCTCCCTTCCCTGGGCGGGGGCCGCCGAGGTGGCTGCGGGACGGCGTGGCCGCCCAGGTGGCGGCGTTCCGGGCAGGCGTCGAGGCGCGCGGCGCGGGGAGGGGGAGAGTGACGGCGCCGTGCTCGGGGCAGCCTGCTCCTCTTCCTGCCAACCCCTGCTCCTCCAAGAAGAGTTTCTCCTCCTACTTCCTCCGCCACCTCCCTCTGATCCTCCACCTCCTCCCCTCCTCCCCACGTGTCCTTATCCAGGACGAGGGGGAGGAGGAACAGCAGGGGGACGGAGCAGGAGTAGCAGGGGGAGGGGGGAGCAATGGAGGGAGTGGGAGGAAGATGCGGAGGAGGAGGAAGAGGAGGAGGACGGAGGAGGAGGAGGAGGAGGAGGACGGAGGAGGAGGAGGACGGAGGAGGAGGAGGAGGAGGAGGCGGAGGAGGAGGAGGAGCAGGAGCAGGACGAGGTGGGTTTTTTTTGGCCGTGACCTGCGCATTCTCAACTTACGCATCCTCCGCGCAGGCAGGCCCTGTCCCGCAAGATGGGCACGCCGGCGGCACATATAGTAGAGGATAAGCAGGCCTGGTGCCGGCCGAGGCATTATTGATAGTTGTTTGTCCATGGACTTCGAGAACGGGGGACGGCCCTCTGAGGAGGCTGCCGCCTTCGTGCGAGGCTACGCCGTCGGCCTGTAGGATCATCGCTCAGAGCTTCTGGGCCGCCTCTGGCGGGAGATCTCCGTGACGCTGCATACGGGAAGCGCCGAGATATTCTTGAGCGCGCTGTGGCAGTGAGCCGCTGCCGCGGCCACGGTTGTGGCACTGCCACTGGCAGCAGTGCGCCGATGTGGACCGCACAAGCACGTACACTGAGACGCACACAGCCCCGATGATCCGGGATTGGCGGCTGCGATTACGGCTGCGGCCAGGGACGCGGCCACGGACCCCGCTGACGACCGCAACCAAGGCAGCAGCCACGACCAGGGCCACGTCGGCTACGGCGATGGCGGCAGCCGGCTACGCGACGACCCGCACCCGTTGCCCCCTCCCTATCGATCAGGGGCGGCCTCGTCGACCCCTGGCAAACCGTCCCCCTCTGTGACGTCCCCCTCGCCTCGCCCCAAGACGCATGTCTGTGGCCGGAGGGGCCGCTCGAGAGGCGAGGACGTCCTGGAAGGGACGGCCTTTGCTGGGGTCGCTCAGGCCGCGCCCGCATCGAAGCCCACGGGGATGCTTCGGGCAGGAGGGACAAAAGCACAGACACAGTTCTTCGTCGATTTCCCAGAAGAGATTGGAAATCATGGGAATTGGGGGGGAAGACAACCCTGAAATTGTGTGTACTTCTTTGTGTGTCCCAGGGTCCCTTCATTCGGGGCGCGCCGGCCCTCCCTGCCGGCGGCGGCCAGCTGCCACGCCTCCCGCCGCCGTGGCCTGCGTGGCGCCCGCCTTGGCTCCCCGGCATGGCCGCCGGGAGGGGGCGCGGGGGCGGGGTGGCCTCCCGGAGAGCGGCCGCTCCACGCGGGTTGGGCGTGGCTTAATGGGGGGGTCACAAATGGGGGGGTCAGAAAAGGTCCCCTTTCGTGCCCCTTTCGGGCCCCTCCAGAGCCCCAGGGGGCTCGTTTAGGTACCGTTTGGGTACCTTTTCGGACCACCCTCGCCGCCCCCCCATTTATGACCCCCCTATTACGCAGCGCCCAAGCGGGGGGCGCGCGGGCCAGGCCGGGGCCCGAGGGCGGTCCGAGGCCGCCTCGCGGGAGGGCGTCGACTACGCTGAGGTCGGGCCTGTCCCCCTACAGGGGGACTTTCGGCGACAAATGAAACATAGTCCAAAAATGCCCCAAAACGGTCAACAACAATTCAAAATAGTCCTCAGACTATTGTTTCTACTTTTTTGGGATATCCCTCCCGTGGAGGGACAGGCCCGGCTTCAGACTACGCGGAAGAGTGACCATTCGCCGGAGTGACCTTTGGTGCGGGCTCCTCGGGGTCCCCCCGATCGCTGAGCGCGAGGCGATAGCGGTTGCTTGCGCGCTTGGATTTGGCCACCTCGCGCACCAAAGGTCATTCTTGCCTAGGGTTGTACTCTTACGTGTAGCCGAGAGGGCGCTGCTGCTCCGGTGCCAGCGGCGGATCTCAAGCGGGTGTGCCCATGGGGAAAGCGGGTCCTGAGGGAAACGGCTCCTGAGGTTTTCCCTGTTTTCAGGCGCGCGGGGCCTTCCACGGGCCCCGGGACTGTCAGGAAACGGCTCGGGATGAACAATTCGGGGGACGGCACTGGGGTCCAGAACAAGTTTCCCTCAGGACTCGTTTCCCCCATGCTAAGTGGTCGCTCTCCGTCGGATTTATGATCGGTTGGCTTTCTCTGCGCCCACCCCCGATGGCCACCCATCCCGAACTAGGCCGGGCGCCAGGGCTTCAGAGCGGGAGTGGGAGGAGGAAGAGGAAGAGGAGGAGAAGGAGGAGGAGGAGGACGGAAAGGATGAGGAGGGCAAGGAGCGCAGGAGGAGCAGGAGGCGGAAGAGGATGAGGCGGAGGAGGAGGAAGGGGGAGGAGGGGGGGGGAGGGTGCCGAACTGGGCGAGAGGATGCTGTGCGAACCTCCTCTCTGGGGCGGTAGGTGGTGCTCCCCTTGGGGCACGATACGTGTGAGGCGCTTGACGAAAAAGGCGGGCGGGAAGCTCCCTCTGGGGCGCGATACGTGAGAGGGGTGTGCCGAAGTAGGCGCTGGGGAGGGATGCGAACCTTGTCCCTGGGGTCCGAAGAGGGTGCAAACGCTACAAGAAAGGCCCCTCACTACCAAAGTCGCCTCAGAGCGGTTAGTTTTGTTATGCGCGTTAGTTTTCTTATTACTCGGTCCAAATCGTGTTCTCTCTGCCATGCTGCGGAGGAGGACGAGAGGAGGAGGACCAGAGGAGGAGGAGGAGGAGGAGGAGGAGGAGGAGGAGGAGGAGGAGCAGGTGAAGGGATTGGGAGTTGAGGTGGAGAGGGACTATGATATAGATGATGAGAAGTGATGGGGGGTGATGACGGCAAGGAGATTGAAGGGAAGGCTGAAAGAGGGGTTGAGGACGCGTCGGCGAACGAAAAGAAGGAGGAGGAGGAGATTCCCATCAAGTCCTTTTGCGGCGACTCATGCTGGAGTGCTCTTGATGTGCGTCTCGGGGCCGCCCCCCCCCCCCCGACGTCCTAACACTTTCTGAGGAGGCACGCGTGAGGGAGGAGGAGAAGGAGGAGGAGGAATGGGGAGGAGGCGACCTACGAATTGGTGTTGTGTGCGCAGAGAGAGGGAGAGAGAGAGAGAGAGACACACATACATATCTATATATATATAGAGAGAGAGAGAGAGAAAGACAAGAGAGAGAGAGAGCGCGCGCGTGTTAATGACGCAGGAGACAGAAGAGCGAGACGGGAGGGACAGCGGTTTGAAGGGACGAGCCACAGGGAGAGGGACGTATTGAGGAGACGAGGCGGAGCAGAGATTGGGGAGGGTGAGTAACGGGAGGAGTGTGAATAGCATTCGATGTGTATCGAAGCAGTTGCAGGACAGACATGGCGATACGCACCCAGTGTGCCGAGACGTTGGCCTGCGTTGCGCTAGAATCGAAGCGCGAGCGAAGCGCGCGCGTGGATCTAGAGATGCACATTATGTACGTAATGATGCGCCTACCGATGTACCTCAATCCATGCTTATATACTAATCGAAGACGCCTACGGCGAATCACCGCCGCCCCCTGCCTTTTGGGAAGCGCCGATGTGGCCGAACGTTGAGGCCAGACCTGCCAAGTCATCGGACCATGTGTTCCCCGAATCGGTTTGGAAAGCCTTCGTGGAACACGTGGGCATCTTGAAGGTCATCTTGGCCGTCTTGGAGGCCTCTTGGGCGATCCTTCGGCGATCTTTTGGGGCTCTTGGGCCGTCTCGGGCCGTCGGAAGGCCGAAAAGAGGGAAATGTCAAAATCCATCGAAAACCTTAGGAAAATCAAGGTTGTTGGCCTTTCCTGGCCTTCCTGGAGGCCCTCTTGGGGGCCTCTTGGGCTGTCTTGGGCCAGCTCCGAGCCAACTTCGGCCATCTTGGTGGGTTCCTGGCACGTCTGACGCGGTCGGGAGCCGTCTTGGGGGCCTTCTCTGGGCCAACGGGGGACCCTCTTGGGGCGCTTCGGGGCCGTCTTGGAGGCCATCTTGGGCGTCTTGGAGGCCATCTTGGGCGTGTTAGAGGCCTCTTGGGCCGTCTTGGGGCCATCTTGGAGGCCACTTGGGCCGTCATGGGGCCCTCTTGGGGGCCTCTTGGGCGATCTTGGTGGCCTTTTGGGCCGTCTTGAGCCGTCGGAATGCCGAGAAGAAGCAAATTCCCAAGCCCTTCAAAAACCTCGGGAAAATCAATGATTTTGGCCTCTTCGGGCCCTCCTGGAGGACCTCTTGGAGGCCTCTTGGGCCGTCTGGGAGGCCTCTGGGGGGCCTCTTGGGCCTTCTTGGGCCGCCTTGGGTACATCTTGGGCCGTCTTGGAGGCGTCTTAAAGCCATCTTAGCCGTCTTGGAGGCCATCCTGGCCGTCTTGGAGGCATCTTGGAGGCCATCTTGGAGCCGTCTTGGGCAGCAAAGTAGGGAATTGAGGTCCTTGGCAATCCTCCCGGGACCCCGGCGGGACGCGCCGGAGCCCCAGGGGGAGTTCTTTTGGAAAAAAAACAAATCCAAAACCCATATAGTCTGGCACGCCAAGCACCCCTGTGATGAATCAACAGGGGGCGGCGGACTAGAATGGCAGTCGGCCTATCCCGCCACCGTGCCTGGATTGCGGGTCCAAGTGCTCGGGGGTGTGTCTCGAGGTCTCTTGGGGGCAGTTTGGGGGCTTCTTGGGAGCCACTGGGGGGCCTCTTGGGGCTTCCTGGGGCCTCTTGGGGGCCTCTTGGAAAGTCTCGGCTGCCTCTTAAGGCCTCTTGGGGCCTCTTGGGGGCCTCCTATGGCCGAAAGCTCGAAATGTCCATTCAGGTCCCCCATCCGGGCTCCCTCTTGGAGCCGTCTTGGGGTCCTCTGAGGTAGTTTTGGGCGCCTCTCGGGCTGTTTGGGGCCATCATGGGCCGTTTTGGGACCCTCTTGGAGGCCTCTTGGGCCGTCTTGCAGCGATTTGCGGGGGCCTCTTGGGCCGTCCTGAAGCGTCGGGAAGCCGAAAAGGCGGGAACGCCAGAATCTTGAAAGTAAGCGACTTGTGCTTATTGGAAGGCCTCGTGGAGGCTTTGGGAGCATCTTCGGCCGGCTTGCGGCCATCTCTGGCGCCTTGGACCGATCGTTCGACGACTCGAAGACCCTCTTCGGCCGTCTTTGGGGTCCCTCGGGGTCCTCCTGGTCCGTCTTGGGGCTCTAGTGGCGTCCCGACAGCACAGGCGACACACCCCGGCAGGGCGCAGGACCGCCCAGGACCACCCGTGAAACCGGGGGTCTGGGCCGTGAAGGACTCTACTTCGCAGAGCTGCATGAACCTTAGGGCACTCCACCACGTGCCGAAGGCACGGTGGCGTATACACATATACACATATACACACATACACACATACATACATACATACATACATACATACATACATACATACATACATACATACATACATACACACACATACATACATACATACATACATACATACATACATACATACATACATACATATACACATTTTCATATTTATATATGTATTATCATACGCACCTCTCCGACGGAGTAGAGCTCAGAGGCGATTAATGCGTACGCGCCGCGTTCGCGATGTTTCTCGCAGTTTCGCTAGGGACATCCTCGAAATTCTGAAAACCGGTGGCACCCCTAACACAGATCGTGACGTCAGGGTCCAAAAACACATGGGAATTTCAACATTCTAACATAAAACCCTCAAACCACATTGTAATGTCAATGATTTTGACCCCGATTCTCAGAGAATGGCGGTTTCGCCTGAGACATCCTCCCAAAATCGAGCCCCGACGTACCGTCTGGTACACCAGACCCCGCCTCGGAGCCTCCTGGGGGCCTCCTGGAACCTCCTGGGGCCTCCTCGAGCCAAGACGTACTCTCCTTCGGCCTCCTGGAGCCTCTTGCGGCCTCCTGGTCGGGCCTCCTGAGGCCTCCATGGACATCCTCGCAACTTCGATCCCAGACGACCCCACCTGGGGTATCCTGGAATATTTTCTGGCATCCTGGTCGGGCCACCTGAGGCTTCCTTGGGGCCCGTGGTACACACATCGCAAGGTGTGGCAACCCCGCTTGCGCTCGAGTGCGACCCCCCTATTTGCACTTCACTCCCAGCAGCTATCCTCCCCCTCTTCTCGTCCGTCTCTTTCCTTCCACATCTAGTGAAACAAATCGGCTGGTGGGAACCTTGTTTACACTACTCTTGTTAATCGTTTCGCTCACTCCGCCAGCCCGTATTGCATCACTGGTGCTATATGTTCTTGTGTTTGTGGCGAGCGAGAAGGATGAGGAGGAGCAGGAGGAGGATGAGGGGATGATGAGGATGAGGAGGAGGCCTCTCGATGATTTCGATGGATTATTGTGCGTTCACCTCCTGCATCTTCCCCTTCTCTTAGGCACGCCCTGGCGGCGCCGCGCCAGCTTCCCCTTCTCCATATCCGATCCCGCCGTCATGGTGTCTTCATGCTCCAAACGACCTTTTCAGTTCTTCGTATGAGCCTGGGCACACACGTGCCCCTTGTGCATACACACACATATATATGCATAACGAGCTACTTATATATGTATATATATACACATACATATATATATATATATATATATATATATAGACGCATCTCCGATAATATCTTCTGAGCGATCGTTTCGAGTATGTTCCGCACGAGTCGATGCAACACAGTTGTTTGATCGCATCCAGCTTCTGATGGCATCCAGGTCGCGCGGGCCGTGGCATGCAAAGGCAGTCGTGTTGCTAGTTGCTAGGGCATACGGGGCACACTCCGGAGTTCATGGCATGACCCTCGTGGTAGTGAAGGCACGTTTCTGGGTCGACACCAGACTGGGCTATTCGGGGAAATGTTAGAGGATTATGCATTGAACACGCGCTCGAAAACGTGCCATGCGGGAGCCCGTCGGGACCGAACTGGATATCCAGCCACGATCAACTTGTTTCTCCGGGGACCGCAAAAACAGAAGTCCGAGGACATCTGACCCCCGAGGTCTCTGGAGGTCTCTGGAGGCCTCAGAGGCTTCCGCAGGCCCGAAAGGGGCGAAGAGCAACAACAAAACTAAGTTCTCTGCTGTCTAGAACCTTCGAAGACCTCGACCATCCCACTTCCCTCCTCAAGCCCCGCTTCCACCCTGCCACCCGCCGCGCGGCGCCTCCAAGATCCCTCGAGCCGGCGATGGCCTGAGGAGGGAGGGAGGAAGGGAAGGAGGAGGAGGAGGAAGGAGGAGGACGAGGGGCGGACGCTCAATACGCGACGGCTCACGCCAGCCAACGTTGGCCCAACTCAACACGGATGTGCTGAGGCGGATGAGGAGGAGGAGGAGGAGCAGGAGCAGGAGGAGGAGGAGAGGGTGAGAAGGAGAAGAGGAGGAGGGGCAAAATGGGGAGGCGGGCGAGAGGAGGGAGGAGGGGGAGGAGGAGGAGGAGCAGACGAGGAGGAGGAGGAGGAGGAGGAGGAGGGCGATTGACCCTTCTCCTCCCCACGGTCCTGCCGCCCGCCGTGCCAGCTCCGGCACTGGACTCCCCCAGGACGTATGCCAGTTCTCGACCGTCTGGGCGTTCGAGGCGGGCGCTCACCCAGACTTGCAGGGGCGGCGGAGAGCGAGGGGGAGGAGGGTGCGGGCTGTGCGGAACATCTACGAATAACGCTTGCCTTGAGGTGGTCTTACCTGTTCCCCCAAACAGCATTTGTACGTAAGGTGTTTATTCATTCCACAAGCAGGGCTTGCAATAAAGGGTTCTTGTCGTGTCTCCGCCCGTTTTTTGTCGTGTTTTGTCGTGTCTCCGCCCGTTTTTTGTCGTTTTTTGTCCGCAGATGAATGAGTTGTCCGGTTTTTGTCGTGCCTCCGCCCGTGCCGCCTCGTGGGCGCCACGCGTGATGGGCGGATTTTCCGAGGTTGCGCCACGCTGCCCTTCGTGGGCGCCTCATAGGCGCCCCCTGCGCTGGGTGCGCTTCCCGCCACGCTGCCGCGCGTGCCGCCTCGTGGGCGCCCCGAGCGGCGGGTGGTTTTCCCGAGGGCGCGCCTCGTTGCCGCCTCGTGGGTACCTCGTGGGCGCCCGGTGTTCTGAGCTTGCCCGGCAAAGTTTTCACCGCATAGTTTGGGCTACGTGGCTTGCACCGCGTGGCTTACACCGCCCAGCCTGCACAACCTAGCTTGCACCTCATAGCTCACACGGCCTAGCTATGTTACCGACCAGCGCCCACAGGATACCCCGCACAGCTCTCCTCTCCACTCACCGAGCGCGTTCCACTACTTGCAAAGTGCCTACTCGCAAACGTCCGAAAACAGATCACTGCATCAGTGTAATGTATCGTAAATCTCCCATGGCGGATCCAGGCCATTTGCGAGCAGTCAATTTGCGAGTAGTGGAACGCGCTTGTCCATCCACAGCTTTCCACGTTGCCAGCCCCGTGCCGCCGAGGATTTTTTCCACAGTGCCGCCCCGTGCCGCCTCGTGTGCGCCCCGTGCGCTGGGTGGGTCCGAGAAGGTTGCGCCACGTTGCCACGCTGCCGCCCGTGCCACCTCGTGGGCGCTCGTGGTTGCCCCGTGCGCGGGGGGGTTCGCCGAGGTTGCGCCGCGTTGCAGCCCGTGCCGCCGCGAGGACGCCCCGTGCGCTTGGTGGTTTTCCCTGGGTTGCGCCATGTTGCCGCCCGTGCCGCCTCGTGGGCGTTCGTGGGCGAACCGTCCGCTGAGCTTACACCAAATGGCGCACACCACGCTCGCACAGCTTGCACGACGCAGCTTGCGCAACATAGCTTGCACCACAAATGTTTCACCCTCAGAGAGCAACAGCAAAGTGTTAGCCAGCGTGGACCACAAACAGTAGGTTCTTGCAGTCTATACGGTGCAATCGATGTGGTGCAATGCGTGCGGTGGCTTAATGCAACATATGCGGTGCAATCCATGTGGTGCAGTCTACGCAGCGCAGACTATGTCATGCAACGGACGCAGTGCAAACCACGAGACGCAAGTAAGTTATGTCCGCAGTGAGTGGCCAACTCCACTGCTCGCGCACACATCCCACCCACCCACCCGCAACTTGGTTTGCAAACCCCATGCGGCGGCGATTGCGATGAGTGCTTGGCGCTGGCTGGTGCATGTCCGCGGCCGCGCCAGCCCGCGCATGCGCGCGCAGCGGCCATGTAGTTTGGCGCGACCGACGCTGCCGCGGTGGTATTGGCCTCTCGGCACATCCAAGCGGGCAGTTGAGTGCGAGTCGGCGGCTTGGGCGGGCGCGGTACCCTGGCAACGTCGACAAGTGTAGACACGATAATGATGATGCTGATGATGATGATGATGATGATGATGATAGTAACGATGTGGGTGACGATGCTGACAGCGCCGACGGCACGGCCAGTGACGGCGCCGATACCGATCACGCCGGCGACGATGACGGCGCCTCCGCGTCGGCGATGAAGGCTTTGAGAAGAATTCGAAATGCGCGCGGCAGACGCGCAAGAGTGGTTCGCATGATATTATTCGACACGGGCCGTGCCACCCCAGCACGCGCGCAAGGGAGTTCGAGCGATTTCGACATGCGCGTGCGCGAAGCCCGTTTGGTAGCATGTCATGAACATGTTGAACAGCCCTTAAGTTTTCTGAAGATTTCGCAAGAGCGCGCGCGCACGCTTTTGTTGAAATTCCGTGTTGAGAGACCTTGTCTTGTGTTTTTTGGCCACGAAAATGTTCAACTTGACGTTGCCAACTACACTGCTCGCGCAACCATCCCACCCACCCACCCGCAACGTTGTTTGCAAACCTCATGCGGCGGCGATTTCGATGAGTGCTTGGCGCTGGCTGGTGCATGTCCGCGGCCGCGCTAGTCCGCGCATGCTCGCGCGCGCAGCGGCCAGGTAGTTTGGCGCGACCGACGCGAACGCGGTGTCGCTGACCGCTCGGCACAATCAGGTGGACACTTGAGTGCGAGTAGGCGACTTGGGCGGGCGCAGTACCCTGGCAACGTCGACAACGATAGACACGATGACGATACTGGCGATGCTGGTGACGATGCTGGCAGCGACGACGGGGCAGCCACTGACGATGCCGATGTTGATCACGCCGGCGACGATGACGGCGCCTTCGCGTCGGTGGTGAAGGTGTTGAAAGGAATTCGAACTTCGCGCGCGGCAGACGCGCGAGAGTGGCCCGCATGGTACTATTTGATACGAGCCGTACCGCCCCAGTACGCGCGCAAGGGCGTCCGAACGATTCGACATGCGCGCGCGAAGCCCGGCTGGCAGCATGTCCGGGACAGGTTGAAACAACTAATGGTTTTCTTGAGAATTTGCAAGATCGCGCGCGCATTTTTGTTGGAGAAATCAATACTGCGATACCCGCTAGTTTGTTTGAAAACGTTATTGGACACTCGGTTCTGGAATCCTTCCGAAACCGAAGCTTGTTGAAGGATTCCGGCATGTGCGCGCGATGGCGCGCGCGTGTGCACTTCGTTTTTGTTGTCAAGGAATTCCGAAAAAAAATGTTGTCATAAACGAGTGCGTTCGCGCCGATTTTTTGCAGAGGATGGCGGGGGGACCGATAACGGCCTAGTTGGGACAGTATGAGTTCATCAGTAGGATGGACCCCGGGTCAGAATCCCCGGAGGGGGGGGAGGGTGGTAGAGCCTTTGTTTTTTTTGCTTTCGAAAAGAAAATCTACGCGGTGCTACCTACGCATTGCAGTCTACGCGGTGCAATTTGAGTGGTGCAATCTACTCGATGCAACCGATGTCATGCAATATATGCGCTATAAAAATTGCGTTGCGCTCTACGTGGTGCAGTCTACGCGGTGCAACCTATATAAGGCAAGATACGCGGTGCAATAGACGTGGTGCAATTAATTGTTGTTCGCGCTGCTTTGTCCCTTTCCAATGTTCACGCAAGCTGCAAAGAGTGCTTGGCGCTGGCTGGTGCATGTCCGCGGCCGCGCCAGCCCGCGCATGCGCGCGAGCAGCGGCCAGGTAGTTTGGTGCGACCAACGAGGTCGCGGTGGTGCTAACCGCTCGGCACATCCCAGCGGGCACTTGAGTGCGAGTCGGCGGCCTTGCGCGGGCGCGGTACCCTAGCAACATCGAGAATTGTAGACACGATGGCGGTGATAGTGGCGATGTTGTTTACGACAACTGCCGACACGATGACGATGACACTGGCGATGACGGCGCCAATGCCGATCACGCCGGCGACGATGACGGCGCCTCCGCGTCGGCGATGAAGGTTGTGGAAGGAATTCGAAATTCGCGCGCGGCAGACGCGCGAGAGTGGCTCGCATGGTATCATTTGACACGGACCGTGTTCGAACGATTCCGACATGCGCGCGCGAAACCAGTTTGGCAACATGTTATGAAATGTATGAAGAAACTTCAAGAGCGCGCACGCTTTTGTTGAAAATTTGCGTTGCGAGACCATGCGTGTTTGTATGTTTTGGACACTCGATTTTGAAATCTTTCCGAAACCGGAGCTTGTTTGAGGATTTCAGCCGACGCGCGCGACGACGCGCGCGTGCGCACTTCGTTTCGTTTTTTGTACAAGGGATTCTCGCGACGGCACGCGCCCGAGGGCGTTCGAACGATTTCGACGCGCGCGCGAAGCCCGTTTGGTAGCAATTGCTTGCAATATTGAAAAATGAATGGTTTTTTTTTCGAGAATTCGCAACAGCGCGCACACGTTTTTGTTGAACATCGGTGTTGCGAAACTGGTGTTTTTTAAGTTTGTTGGACACTCGGTTTTGGAACCCTTCCGAAGTCGAAGGATTCTGGCATGCGCGCGCGACGACGCGCGCGTGTGAACTTCGGCACGTTTTCTGTAAGGGATTTATGAAAACCGTTCTGATTTTGTTGAACGAGTGTGCGCGCATAGTTTCGTTTTGCAGAGGATAGCGGGGGAAACGATACCGGTTTGGCTGGGATAGTGTGGACCCACAGGTAGGATGGACACGGTGTCATAATCATATGTGTTTCGCATCGGTTCCTGGAGAGTGGATAAGTCTGGGGGGGAGGGGGGCATTTCTTTTCAAAAGGAGAAACTATGTGGAGCAATCTACGCGGTGTAACCTACGCGGTGCAGTTTACGCGGTACAATCTACGTGGCGCAATCTATGCGGCGGCGACGGCGGCGACGGGCGGCACCGCCCTCAAAAACCGCCACTCGCCACGACCGGTGGCGACGGCAGCGGCAGCGACGGCGGCGACGGGCCGCATCGCACACAAAAGCCGCCACTCGCCCCGAGCGGCGGTGACGGCGACGGCGACGGCGGCGACGGGCGGCACCGCCCGCAAAAACCGCCACTCATCCCGAGATGGTTAAGCCAAGTAAGAACCCTTCAGTGCAAGCACTGCTTGGGGAATTTGTTTGGGCCCACGTTAGTGAACATGTGAGCAGCGCCAAGTCACGGGGTCGTTTGCGCCGACGTTGGCGCGCAGGTTGCCCGCGTAAGGTCGCGCGTCAGCGCTTTCGTCTCCGATGTGGCGTGCCGCGACATCGGCCCGCGTAAACCGCCGCGTAAGGTCGCCGTGCCATCTCGTGTAAGACCTTGGTTCCCACCTGCCTCAGCACGCCCGTTTTGAAACTCAGCACGTGCCGTGCTGAAAACGTCCGTTTTAACACGCTGCGTGTTGGCTAAATTTGGTGGCCCACGACTTGGCGAACCTATAGCGCTTGACCTACGTGTTAAGTCTACGTGTCGAGCTCCGTATCAATACGCTAGTTATTGCGTGTTACGTATCGGGGCAGTTAAGCCCCTGTTTGATCGTTGCTCATGTGTACAGATGTGTAAACAAATATGTGCGCACGCACACTTAAATTCCCCAAACAGAGTTTGCACCTTGGGTCTCTTTCATTTCTTTCTACAGACTTTGACGGGTCTGGCGAGGTTTGGACCTGTTGCAGCCCGCGGCCGCTTCGTGGCCGCCTCGTGCGCTGGCTGGGTCCGGCGAGTTTTCACGACCTTGCCGCCCGTGGCCGTCTCGTGGCCGCCTCGTTTGCTGAGTGGGTCTGGCAAGGTTGAGCCACGTTGCTGCCCGTGACCGCTTCATGGCCGACTCATGCGCTGGGTGTGTTTGGCGAGGTTACGCCACGTTGACGCTCGTGGCCGCCTCGTGGCCGCCTCGTGCACTGGCTGGTTCTGGCGAGGTTTCGCCACGTTGCCATCCATAGCCGCCTCATGGCCGCCTCGTGCGCTGGGTGTGTCTGGCGAGGTTTCGCCACGTTGTCGTCCATGGCCGCCTCGTGCGCTGAGTGGGTCTGGCGAGGTTTCGCCACGTTGCAGCCCGTGACCGCCTCGTGACCACCTCGTGCGTTGGCTGGGTCCGCCGATGTTTCGCCACGGGAGCGCCCGCGCCCGCCTCGTGGCCGCCTCGTGCGCTGGGTGGATCTGGCGTGGTTTCGCAACGTTGCCGCCTCGTGCGCTGGCTGTGTCCGGCGAGGACTCGTCCCGTTGCCGCCCGTGGCCGCCTCGTGGCAGCCTCGTGCACTGGTGGGTCAGGCGAGGTTTCGCCACGTTGCAGCACGTGGCAGCCTCGTGGCCGTATCGTGCGCTGGGTGGGTCCGGCGAGGTTTCGCCACGTTGCCGCCAGTTTCTGTATGCTTTGTGGCCACCTCGTGCGCTGGACGGAATGCGACGTTTCGCCACAGTCCTGCCCGTGGCCGCCTCGTGGCCGCGATTAGCTTGCTCCACGTCTCCTGCGCCACAGAACTTACACCGTATCGCTCGCATCACGTAGCTTACACATGCAGAGTTCAATAACGTTCTGGTTTCGGTCCATGCTGGGTAGCATTGGTGTAAATACGTTGGCAGGTTTGAGAACGCAGCCGTCGGAGTTGGAGTGGGCACCATTTTAGGGTGCACGTTGCAAGAAATACAGACTGCATGACGATCGTGCCCATCGATCGATCACACATGGTGCATCTGATCGGGTGTTGTCGACGGACTGATCTGAGCTTCGGCAACGGTCGGGCTGGCTGGATCGGTGCATCAAAAGCTTGATGTATTAGGATCAGGGTGGGCTGCTTGTGAGGGGAGAACGAGTGGGGAGACGAGGACAAGGGCGATGAGGCCGATGTAAATTACAGCCAGCTGGACGCGGCGACGAAAGAGCGCGCCCTCATCGCAGGCTGCTCCCTCCAAAAGAAGGCGTGCAGGGCTGCGGACTGCAGCGAGATTCGGAGAGGGCGGCGAGGACGGAGGGCGAGAGGAACCCCGGCATCCGTCGTCATGATGTTGTGCAAGGTGTGCGCCCCGGTGTCCTCGAACCCATCGAGTCCATCCATCGGGGGTGGACAGAACCCCCAACAGTGACACGTCGATTAGTGAATTGTCCGTTTTCGGTTCTCGAGAGCGCGCCGCGGCCGTTATTTTCCAGGGTTGCGCCCGCCAGGTTTGGGCCTCAGGTCGTTTTCACTAAACCACGTTTTACTAAAGGGAGGTCTGTCCATCCCCGAATCCAAGCTTCGCCCTGACCACCTGCTCCTCTTGGCGGGATGCGCTTGCCGCCACAAAGGGCCCTGGCTGCGAACCGGTGGAGCGTCCTACGCGTCGTCGGCTTCCTCACGCAAGACCGGTGGAAGGCCCCACTCGTAGCCCTAATCTCGAGCGCGCTGCGGACTTTCATCCCTCGTGGCAGCGCCGGAGTGCTGCTTGCCTTGCAGCTGTTTGCCGTGACTGGCGGTCTGGGAGCCTACCGGGCCGCCCTTCTCCAGCGGTCGATCCAGGCCGCTGCACTACGAGAGTGGCGGGTGCCTGATTGGCCGAGCCTTATCCTGAAGCGCTGGCAAAGCTTTACGAAAGTTGACACATTGTCGATCGCCGATGCTTCCGCCGGTATTGCGAGCCTCTCGTCTGTCTCCAGACCACGATGTACTCTGATCCTGAGGATTTGGTGCCATGCATGGTTTATCACTCGTCGTATGCACGAGCCTGCACGACACTCCTGCTATCTGCGCGGGTTTATTGACGCAGACCAGCGGCATTATTTCGAGTGAGACGTTTTCTAAACGTTGCTCGAGAGTTGGCCAGGATCGTGTCCGTCCTCGGTCTGGGAAGGCCTCGGTTCTCGTGGTTTGAGCTTTGCGCGCTGCTACGGCCCACAAGTTCTTCCACACGATGACAGACCACTAAGGGGCGGGCAGCCGGCTGCCGTGCGCCACAGTGCTCTCTGTGCCGCGCGCCGCGCCCGCGCTGAGCTTCTTCTTTGATTGACTTCCTCTTCCGCCGATCCGCGACCCCCGCGACCGGTTCTTCGTCGCGGCTCGTTGTTCCTCACGGCCCCAGCATTTGGTGCAGATCCCCCGAGGTCCAAATGTTGCCCTCGTGATGTTCCCTGGTCGCCAGAGGTCCTGGGAAGGCGAGGAGGACAAGGACGAGGACGGCGGAGGGCGGCCGGCGAGCCCCGCCGACACGGCCCGGTTGGAGGCCAACGAGCTCGCGATGTTGTTCTGCGGCGGCCACACCGAGTGGACCCGCGAGGTGCGCCCCATCCCGGTGTGCGGCAGCCCGTGTCTCGGGTCGGACGAAAGGGGGGGGATGGGGAAAGGGGGGGTACGAAATTTGCTGCATGCAGCTGGTTTCGGCCCCGCCGCCGGGCCCATTCCTCGATACATAGCCGCCTCCGGCGCCAGGAGGCGCTGGGAAAATCAGCTACGTGAGCTGATTCTCAACCCCCCCCCTTTGCTATCCCCCCCTTTCGCCCAACCCGAGTGTCGGCCAGCGCAGCAGCGCGCTGGACGGGGCCAGGACAAGGATAGCTCTGTTCCACAGCGTTTCGTCTGAGAAGGCCGCGGCGCCCGAGACATCCTCCACATTCGCTAGATGTCAGAGGCTCTCGGTTTATCCTCGCCCAGTGGTGTCCTCGTCCTGGCTTGTGTCGGCTCGTGTCGGCCAACGGGTGGGGGGAGGCATTTTGGCCTCAAGAGGGGGAGGAGGACGAGGAGGAGGAGGAAGACCAGTGTAAACCCAAGAGGCATCAACGATGTTGGAATAAACCCTTTATCCACGCTCCCTCTTCACAGTCCCCTACAACGGTTCGTTTCTACAGAAGGAACTGCCCCGTTGGAAGACAACTGGTTCAAGACCCTGAAGCATGCCACAACATTGTTCTCGGGATTCCAGCGCCACGGATCAACCTGACTGTTGCGTCTTGACGATCCTGGGTCGTACCAGAACGCCATTCCTGGGACTTGGACACCGCGAATCAACATAACTTGTGCACCCCCATAAGCCCAAATCCTGCCAAAACACGGCGCTAAGGCGAAAGCCACATTTTGAAAGGGAGCCGCCCTCAATCCATGAAACTCTTGCAATTTTTGAAGTCGAGTGTGCGCGGCACTAACGCGAGAGCCACATGTTGAAAACGATTCGCCCTCAATCCGCAAAACTCTTACAAGTGTTTAAAACGAGTGCGCGCGGCGCTAAGGCGAGAGCCACATATTGGAAACGACTCGCCTCAATCCGCGAAGCTCTTGCAACTTTTTTAAGATGAATGTGCGCGGCGCTGAGGCGAGAGCCACATTTGGAAAACCACCCGCCCTCCATCTGTGAAATTGCTGTCAACTCGGGCTTCAGAGCCATAAATGGTGAGGAAGTCAGGCGAAACGCCCAGCCCGCCCTAAAAATTGGCCTCCGGGTGCGACAGGGAGAAGTTATTCATCGCCGGCAGGGGCCCGATAGCCCACCCCGCCCGGGCACGTGCGGATCCGCTGTCGGGAGCCTGCGATGTATCGCCGGCTCCAGGCCGAGGGGTCTCCCCCGTGGACCCAGTCAGCCCCGCGGCCCCCGCGCCCCCATCCGCACCCTCCGCACCGACCCCTGAAGCCGCGACACGGCGCGGTGCGACGCCGTCTTGGCCGCCCGACCCGAGGCGGCAGCCGCAGCAGGTGAGGGGGAGGAGGAGGAGGCCAGGAGCGAGGGTCGAGGAGGAGGGGGTGGGGGAGGAGGATGAGGAGAAGGGACAGGAGGCGGGCGGGAAAGGCAGAGAGAGGATGAGCAGGAATATCGGTCCTCTTTATCTTTATCATCGCCATTGCCGTTAGTATCCTCATTATCTACCATCGCTGTTCCAACTCATCCTATCCTTCTCTACCCCCTTTTCCTCCTCCTCATACATTATCCCCCCATTCTCTCTATTCCTCATCTTGCTGTGTCCTGATTGTCTTTTTCTCATCATTACTCCCCTCCTCCGTCTTCTCCGTCTCATCCCTCCCCCTCCCACCATTCCTGCTCATCTTCTCCCTTCCTTGTCTTCCTCATCATCGTTTTCCTCCGCGAGGAGGTCAGTAGCCATTTTGGCTCAAGCTGCAGGCTGCAGCCAGGTCAAGGTTTCGCGGTTGCGGTTCCCCCCTTAAGCTTAAGTCGGGTTTGTCCCTCTACAGCGGGAATATTCAAGAATGGTCGAAAAATAGTCTGGGGACTATCTTAATAGTATTTTTACCCGTCTGGAGCATTTCTTGAGTATTTTTCATTTTTCGTCGAAGATCCCCCTGTAGGGGGACACGCCCGACTTAACCTCAAGCGAGGCAATGGCGAGGCTGCTGCCAGCGTGCGTCCTGCTCGCAGGCACCTGCGCGGCGCTCCTGTGCCTCACGGCGCTCCGCGCACCCGCACCGCCCGCCTTCCTGTCCACGGCCGCCGCCGGCCGGCGCGAGGCCCTCCAGGCCGCCGCCGCGGCGGCGGCGACGCTCGGCAGCCAGGCCAGGCTAGCCACAACTGGGGGAGCTGGGGTCCTGACCCCCCGGGGGGACCAATCGATTTCGACACCCCTCTCGAGAGATCGTCGAGGCGATAGGGCTCCCCCAGAGGGGGTAAGGGCCACAGCTCCCCCAGTTGTGGCTGGTCGGCAGGCCGCGCTTGCGGACTTCCAGGGCGAGCCCGTCACCTGCATGAAGAGGTATGGCCCCGCCATCATCAAGCTGCAGAGCGCCGTGGACTCCGGGGACATGAAGGCCGTCCTGGCGAAGGAGAACAAGTTCAAGATGCTCAACACCTACTGGCGCAACCAGCCGAAGGACTTCGCGGCCCAGACCGAGCTCTCCGAGGAGCTCCTGGATGCGGCCGCGGACGGGGAGACGGCCAAGGTGAAGACGCTGTACGCCAAGTACATGGAAAAGTCGGAGCTGAAGTCGTTCGCCAACCTCCCTCCAGCCAGGCAGTACCACATGACGAACCGCGACGCCTCCATGGGCTCTCGCTGAGTTAGGGGCGCCCGGGTGTTGATGGTAAGTAGTTTTTTTGAACAGGTGGTCTTCCTCCGCGAGGAGGTGGTTGCCTTCGAAGGTGATCGAGTCTTTCATGTGTGTCATCCTCTTGCGATTGTGAGTTCATCAATCTTCCGAATTTGATGGCGTATTCACAAGGATGCCCCAACAATAGACTGCCCGCTCGATCACTGCCCCTGCCGCCAAGAGTCCTCGCTGCTCGTCCTCATCCTCATCCTCATCATCGTCGTCGCGGCCGTCCACGTAATCCCATCCATCCGCTTCCTGAATAGTCAGCGCGACACCGTGCGAACTCCACCGGGACCGCAGGTGGAATTCCCCGTGGGTTTCAGCATCCAGGCGCCCTCACCGTGGCCGCAGATGGAGCTCCCTGTGGGGCACGGAGCGAAGGGTGCGCCGAACCGGGGGCGGTGGCGCCGTGCAGTGGAACCCACTGGGGCCGGAGGTGAGGCTCTCCCCGCTGGACACGAGCCGCCTGAGAGGTGCTCCGCATGGGGCGCCAAGGCCGCCATGCGGGCGCCCTGACGAATGGAGCGCGGTTCCGCAGAGCGGGCGCGCCCCCTCGGGTTCGCGGGTGGAGCTCCCTGTGGGGCATGAGAGCGTGTCAGGGGTGCGCAGGGGGAGCAGCAGCAGGAGAAGGAAGGGGGGGCAAGGGAGAGATGGGGGAGGAGGGAGGGTGAGAATGGGAAAGGGGGGCAACCGGGCAGGACATGGAGGAGGGAAGAAGGGGGAGCGCCCAGGCCGCAACGCACCCCTTCGCCCGTCCCGGCAGCCGAGTAGGTCAGCTGCGCCGCGTCTGGAGGAGATGCTCCGATTGGCCCAGTCTGGGCGCTGGGCCTCCTCCCACATCCTTGGAACATACTCCCTCTGCCTCCTATCTACCTCTCGACATGCAGCAACCTCCAGAGGGCCTCAAGAGAGGTCAATGGCATTTCACCCCCCAAAGGCCACCCCAAACAATGCCGGCCTTGGCGAATTGGCTAGATTCCACGCTCCGTGGTAAGCGTTGGCAGAGTCCCTCCCGTGCCTGGCGTCCGCTGGCCCGAGGCCCTCCGGCGCATCCAGCAGAAGCCGCCTCCCTGCCGCCGCCGCAACACCGGTCGCGATGAACGGAGCCGAGTCCGTGGCCTCGCAGGCCGCGACGGGGCGCGCCCAGATGGCCGATGGGCGCGCGGAGCTCGCGCTGCAGAGTTTCGAGGCCGCGCACGAGGCGTACCAGGCCCGGCTCGCCAGCGGCTCGGCGGGCCGGGCCGCGGGCCCCCGCACGACGTCGTGGGCGGAGGACGCGCGGGCCGCCGAGGCGCAGGTGCACTCGCAGCTGTGGGCGGCGGAGCTGCTCCTCGCCGGCGGCGGGCCCGCCGCCGCCGTGGCGGAGCGCGCCGCGCGCGCGTGCGCGGCGCTGCTGGGCCCGCCGCGCGCCCCGAGCTGGCTGGCGGCGGAGGTGGTCGGCACGTGCTACAGGTCCGCGACCGCGTGCGAACCTCACAGTGGCTTGGCATCGCTCGGACGTGTGCATTGTTTCTCGGCGAGGACCATCGAAGAGCATCCTGGATCATCTAACAAGAAGAACACGCACAAAACCGAAAAACGCACAGTGAATGGACGTCCGAGCGACGGCAAGGTGGAGACCCACGCCAAGAGACACCCTGCTTGCCTCCAGGGTCTCCTGGGTTTCTTGGGTGTCGGTGGTTCTGCGATGGAAGGCGTGGCGTTCCCACACCGAAAATCTCGATGTGCGTCCTGGGGTCTCAGGGTTGGGCTTCTTGTGGGAGGTTTCTTGCGGTCGGGCCCCTACTGTGCTCCTGCGGGTGCACTCGAGGCAGGGGTGTGGGATACCCCCGCCGAGGTCGACTTGGCTGCAGACGCCCTTCGAACTCTGAACCCCAGCCGACGTTTCAAACATCGGGCCTGGAGGGGGACGTCGTCGGGCGAGGGGGAGGACAAGGGGGACGAGGGGGGACGAGGAGGAGGAGGACGAGGACAAGGACGAGGAGGAGGAGGAGGAGGAGGAGGAGGACGAGGACGAGGACGAGGACGAGGGGGAGGACGAGGAGGGGAAGGGCGAGGAGGGGAGGACCGAGCTTCCTGGCCAGCCGAGAGCTTAGGGGGGGGGCCGGCAGCATTACAGACCCTCTGAGATTACGGTTCACGTGCGGCTCCCGAACAGGCTGGCCCTGGCGCAGCGGCAGGGCGGGGAGCCTGCCGCATCCGCCGAGCTGCTGCGCCGCGCACTCTCCGCGCTGCAGGACGGCGTCCGCGGCGCGCCGCGCGCCGGCGCCCGCGCCCGGCTGCTGCGCCAGCTGGCCCTGAGCCTGCTGGCGGTGCCAGACGGCCCTGAGGCGCTCGAGAGCGCACGGGAGGCTGCGGAGCTCGAGGCGCTGGCGTCGGACGGCCGCGCCAGGTCGCTGCAGGTGCTGCTCCAAGTGGCGTGCCAGGCGGACGAGCCTGCGGCGGCGGGCCGCGCGGAGTCCCTGGAGCTCGTGCGCCAGTCAGCGCTGGAGCTGATGGAACACCCCACGGCCCCTTTGCCCCTTCGTCTCGCCGCCTGCGCCAGCTTGGCTGCGGCCCCGTGGCTGGCGGCGCTCGCGCCGCAGATGCTGCGGGCGCTCTCCCTGCGGGCGCGCCACCCCGCCGAGCGCCTCGAAGTCCTCGCCGCCCACGTGCGCATGTCCTCCTCCAGCGCGAGGTCGTCGCCAGAGAGTGCACCCCTGGCTGCGGCGCTGGTGGCCGTGTTTGAGGAGGTCAAGGCCTTCGGCGATTGCGCAGAGGACGACCGCGCCAAGCTGCAGGCAGTTGCCTGGGAGTCGTCGGTGCGCGTCGCCGAGGCGGCCCTCGCGGCGGGGCTGGCGCAGCGGGCGAAGGAGTGGGCCTCCTGGGCGGCGCACTTCTGCGAGGGGGACGCCGGCAGGCTCGCGGACGCGCGCCTCCTGGTGGCCCTCTGCCACCTCTCCTGCGGGCTGCGCGAGGAGGCCCTCGCCGAGGCGGGGGCGGCGCTGGCGGGGTGCCCCGGGCACGCCCCGGCCCTGGAGCTGCTCCAGGCCGACGCGGCGCGGCGTGGCGACCGGGCGGGCGCGGCGGCGCTGCTCGCCGCGCGCCCACGCGACGGCGGGTCTCTGGCAGCTCGGGCAGGGGCCCTGGTGCGAACCCTGCGCAACGAGGTGCCCGCCGGGCGGCCTCCGGAGGCGGCTCGCACTCCAGCGCGCGTGCTGCGCTCGCGCCTGCAGCTGGCCGTGGCGCTGCAGATGCCCGCGTCCGAGGTCACCGAGCTGCTGTCAGCGTTCGCCACGCTCCTCGAGCAGATGCAGATCAGCGCCTGCTCCGAGTCCAAGGGCGGCTCGGCAACTGAGGAGGCGGAGGCAGGAACGGGGGCAGCCAAGTGCGCGGCCAGAGACGAGGCCTGGGAGGTGGTGCGGCTGACGAACGAGTACGCGGAGGCGTGCCGCAGAGACGGGGCGTGGAACAGTTGCGGCGAGGTCCTCGAGGCCCTGTCCCTACTGCAGCACAGGCTTGGCGCGGCTCCGCTCGAGCAGGCCCGCTGTCTTGTCCACCGCGCCGACGCCCTAGTTTGCGGGCTCGCGGATGAGGAGTCCTCCAGCGACTTGCCAGGCGGCCCGGCGGAGCGAGCGGGCGCCTTGGTGCAGGAGGCGCGCCAGCTCCTGAGCCTGAGCGACCACTGCGGCCCTGGGCAGCAGCCAGACTGGGGGCGACTGCGCGACCTGGCCTGGCTGCTGGAGAGCTTGCTGCTGCTCCTCCCCCTCCTCACCCTCCTCCTGCCCCCGCGGACGGGCAGGGGGGGGGGCTCCACAGGTCTCGCCACGAGGTGGGGCCTGAGAGCGGAGAGGGCATGGGGACGTGGCGGGGCGATACGGCCAGTTGCCACAAAAAGGACATTGCCCTCCCAGCCGGTGCCCCGTGGAAACGTTTTGCTCCAGGGATGCAGGCGCACCTCACGGTGACACCGTCTGCCTGCTGGCTCGACGGTGCGCCCCTGAACGCGTCGCTGTGAGAGCTCGGGACTCCTGGCACTGGCAGTACGCCGGGCCGCTCAGGAGATGAAGCTGTGCTGCCGCCTCGGCACGACCGCCACTGCGGCGTTCCTGCGCGAAGTGCGCCTCGCGGCCGAGGGCCCGCAGGGGCCAGCCGCCGAGCCCCCGCCGCCGCTGCTCCTGCTGGCGCAGGCCGCTCCCAGGGCGACCCCTGCCGGCGCCGACGTCGCCAGCCTCTGCCTGCGCCTCCGCCTGGCCACGACGGCGCAGCCGGCGAAGGCGCGTGCGGGCACTGCGGCGGTTGGCCGCGCCGGGCTGTGCCGCCAGCTGCTGGACCTCCTGCCGCAGCAGGAGGAACGGCTCGAGGCGGTGCGCGACCTGTACTTGCAGTGGCACCTGGAGGGCAGCGGCCAGGGTGTCCCGGCAGGCGGTTTCGGACCCGACGGCGAGGAGGAAGTTTGGTGGTTGCTGGCCTTCTCGTGGGACAGCGCCTCGCGTTCTTGGCTCTGCGGTGACCACAGGCAAAGCAAGGCCTGGGCCGATGTCGGCGTCGGACTGCTCCAGGCATGCTCGAAGGCAGGCTGCTTACCCAGCTCAATTCCGCTCGGAGGTCCCACGACAACCCGTGATGATGGTGCAGGAGAGGCTTGAAGGAAGAGATGGCGCACTCCGACACGATGCGCTTGCATGCCAGGGTTGCCAGCAGTGGGGGCGACAACTCTAGGCAAAACGGACCGGTGATTTGTTTTTTCCCACCGGACGCATGCAGATATGTTGGGGTGCCAGAATTCGTGTTAAGACGGTGTTTGTTTTCCCAAGGGCACGGTTTTGCGGCACGGGATGTCGAAAGAAAACGTCGTCGATCAGTATGTGTACGTATTTGTTGTTCGTTTCATACATATTCATACACATGTGCACAATCATTTGTGTGTTCACGCGTCGTCCCTCAGTGCCATTCGACGACCTGCTTCGAAGACGCCTACGGCGAGTCGCCGCCACCCTCTGCCTTTTTGAAACGCATGCGTCGTGAATGTCGCATGGAAGTGCGACCACCATAGTGCACGGAGTGTTCCTCCCCGGGATGTGTGAGAAAGCATTGGTGGGAAATTGGGAGCATTCTGAGACCGCCTTAGGGTTGTCTTGGGGCTCATGTGGTGCTTTGGCGCCTCCTGGGGCCCTTTTGGGCCATCTTGGGGATCTTGAGGCTCGCTCGGGCCTGTTTGAGCCATCCTGGATTTGTCTTTGGGACTACTCGGGGCGTCTTGGGTGCTTTAAATAAGACCGGAGAGGTGAGGAAACCAGCAAACAACAAATATCCGGGCGAAGGACCCACCCTTGAGTATCTCTTTGGTATTGACAGCATTTTTCCAGGGTCTGACGAAGGGGCGTGATCCTCGTGGCGGTGCACCGAAATTTGGCCACGAACCGTGTGAGGGGTGTGCCGACATGGGGGCGGTGATGCCATACGCGCGCCCTCACCAGGACCTCAATTAGTTGGAGCTCCCTGTGGAGCCTCCACACGTGTGAGAGGTGTGCGGACATAGGCGCGGTGGTGCCATACGGGCGCTCGCGCTTGGGCCGCAGGTCGAGCTCGACGTGGGGCCACGAACGGGTGAGGGGGCTGCCGAACTGGGGGCGGTGGTGCCATACGGGCGTTCGCGCTTGGGCCGCAGGTGGAGCTCATGTGGGGCTACAGACAGGTGAGCGACGTTCCCGAATCGGGGCGGTGGTGCCATGTAGGCGCACTGGGGTCGAGCAATACATGGGGATCCCGATGGGGACAAGGAGCAGGTGAGGGGGCTGCCGAAATGGTGGCGGTGGTGCCATACGGGCGCCCTTACTTGGGCCGTAGGTGGGTTCGCCATGGGACCACGAAGCGGGTGAGAGGTGCGCCGATATGGGCATTTGGAAGGCAGAGGCAGGAGGAGGGGGAGGAGGTGAGGAGAAAGATGCAGGGCGAGGTGGTTCAAAACGAAAACCCCACAACCAGCAGGTCTGGGACAGAAGGAACGAATTTCTCGACGCGGAGATCCGCATTTGTGGATACATGCTGTGATGATACCAGGGACTAGTGTCGGAACGGGAGTGAAGCCGAGGGTGAGTGAGAGTGATTGCGAGCGTGTAGGGTGCCAGCGAATACGCATGGGCCCCAGTTGACAAGGCGGTCAGAGTGTGAGCGGATCTGAGCGGGGCGTCAGAATCCCCCCCCTCCATTTTTCTCGTGTCGTTTCGATTGCGTCCTGACGGGGGCACGCCCCCGCGCACACCCATGCGCGCGAGCCGCACCAAGATGCCAGCGGCACGCGCGTCCTCGAGGCTCCAGGTCACGGCCCGTGCACCACTGCACAATTGCCCATTGCCCGTCGTTCTCGCAGCCGCTGCTCCCCGCACTGCAGGGGAACCCTCGCCTCTCGCATCGCCCCAGAGGCCGCTGCCGCCGCTCGCCACTCCCGCACGCCCTGATCCCGACATTGTGGCCGATGGCTATTCCTCCTCCTCCTCCTCCGCCGCCTCCGCCTCCGCCTCCTTATCATCCATCTTTTGCCGTTGTCCTTTGTGAGCAACTCCTCCTTATGAGGAGGAAGCTTGGAGGGAGGGTTCATTGCAACATCGTTGATGCGTCTTGGGTTTACACTGCTCCTCCTTCTCCTCCTCCTCCTCCTCATCATCATCATTCCTTTTCCTAGTAAATGAGTGTTCCCTTTTCGCATCCTGAAGCCAATTTTGGGGGCGGGGCGAGCGTTTCGCTTGGGACTTCCGCACCATGTATGGCCCTGAAGCTGATCAAGTGGTAACAGCTTCACGGTTTGAGGGCGGCCCGTTTTCACAATGTGGTTCTCGCCTTCGCGCCGCGAACATTCGCTTTAAAAACAAATCAAGAGTTTCACGGATTGAGGGTGGCCCGTTTTCAAAATGTGGTTATCGTAGCAGTATTGCGCACGTCCGTTCTTAAAAATTGCATGGGCTTCGCGGATTGAGGGCGGTTCTTTTTCAAAATGTGTTTTTTGTTTTAGCGCCGCGCACATTCGTTCTCAAAATTTGCAAGAGTTTCACGGATTCTCAGGATCAATGTATTAGAAATGGCTCGTTGGAAGGAGTCAGGATTATGAGGGCGCCACAATTGTTTGATTTGCAGTTTGAAGTCCCAGGAATGGCTTTCTGGCACGACGCAGGATCGTCAAGACGCGACAGTCAGGTCGATATGTTGCTTTTGACTCCCGAGAACAATGTTTTGGCATGCTTCAGGGTCTTCAAGCGATTGTCTTCCAAACGGGGCAGTTCCCCCAGTAGAAATGGACCGTGATAGGGGCCTATGAAGAGGGAGTTTGAAGGGAGGGTATGTTCCAACTTCGTTGATGACTTGGGTTTACACTGGTCCTCCTCCTCCTCATCTCGCCCGTTACCTCGCAGACGGGACCTTGCCCTGCTGCCAGCTACGCCTCCCCGTCAGTCGGTCGTTCTCTTTTCCTCCGTCGAACTCGGCGTCAAGATTGGTTGGAGACCTCGGGGTCTCTAGCCGTGGCCGTCGACGACTCACCTGGCTACGCTCGTCTCCTCCTGTGGCTCGTCATCTCTCCCCCTCCTTTCCCCCCTCCCCCTGCTGGAGCGGCGCGAGGAGCTCCTGCAGCACCTGCGGCCCACGGCCGCACTCGGCGCCCCTGAGCTGCAGCAGTTGGCCGAGGTCCTGGCGAGGAGCCGGCGCCGGGCCTCCTTCTCGCGGAGGGGGAGATGAGGGGAACGGAGGGGGAGAGGGGGAGGAGGAGGAGGAGGAGGAGGAGGAGGAGGAGGAGGAGGAGGAGGAGGAGGAGGAGCAAGACTGAAGGTCTATATTTCCACACTTGCCCGGCTTCGATCGTTGACCGACTTCGGGGGTTGACACAGAGCGCGCCAAAAGAAAGGAGGAGGGGAGGGAGAGGCAGGAGGCGGAGAAAGGGGAGGGGAGGGGAGGGAGGAGGGGGGAGGGGAAGGGGGAGGAAGGGGGGAAGGGACAAGGGGAGGTGTGAGGTAGCTGAGGTCCGAGATTCGAGGAGCCTCCAGTTCTCGAAGCCTGAGGTTTGAGGAGGAGGTCCCTCAGATCCTGGCGTTGCATTTTTGTTCGCAACGGGGACTTTCGCCTTGTGTCGGGCCGCGGGTCCCGGGCTCGGGTAGTGATTCCCCGCAATGCTGCATTTGTTTTGCAACGTCGGTTTTCAGGGAGGAGGAGAAGGAGGAGGTGGAGGAGGAGGAGGAGGAGGAGGAGGAGGCGGCAGCAGGGGGAGGGAGGAGATGCTCGGCACTGGCTGGCGCGTCGTTGCGGCCGCGCTGGCGCGCGCAAGCTCGCGCCCAGAAAGGCCAGCTGGTTTGGCACAGCTGATGCGGCCGCGGTGGCGCTTGCCGATGGGAACTTCCCAGCGTGTCTTCGAGGCCGCGCTTGACCACGGGCACTTCCATGCGGATCGGTGATTCGGGTGGGCGCGATATCACGATGCCACCGATACCAACGACAACGATGATAATAGAAACAATGGTGGTGGCGATGGTGGCGATAACGACGTCAGGCCAGTGACGGCGCCGGTGTGCGTGACGACGATGACGATGATGATGACGATGAGGAGGAGGAGGAGGAGGATGAGGATGCTGATGATGTCGATGATGATGGTGATGATGGTGATGATGGTGATGATGTTCATGTGTCGGTGATGAAGGTGATTGACTGATGGCGGCCAGGGCGGCGATGGGCGATGGCGATAACTGTGGTGACGCAGTGGTTTTGATGATGGTCATTGTGAGGAACTGTGCGCGGAGAAACTCGAGAAATCTGGCAGGTGATGCATTGACGAATTCTCGACGCTTCGCGTATCCCCACCAGCTTGTTGTCTCTCTTTTCCTCTCTCTCTTTCTCTCTCGTGTGCAATTTAGGTTCCTGCTTGTCAGTGGTAGCTTTGGACGGTGTGCAGCCCTCCCGCTTGCGTTCGCGAACAAAAAAGTATCCCCACCAGCCCATCCAGAAACGATGTCCAGGCGAGTTGAGGTGATCAGGGAAGCGCGGGGGCAAAGAGGGGGACGGCCGAACCGTGCGAAGGAGGGAGGAGAAGAAGGAGGAGGCTGGATGGATGGATGAGGGAGTGGGGAGAAGGAGGATGAACACGAGGAGGAGGAGAAGAAAGATGAAAATGACCGGGTAGTTCTCTTGTATGCATGTTGTAATGACTATGGTTGATCACTGCCATATCCAATTCAAGCTGCGAGAAGAACATATCGTGTATCATGGTAGCGGAGCTGGTTGTGAGTCGGCCTGCCTGCGATACCGCTGCGCATTCCTCCGAAGCGTTCCCAGGAGGCGCCTGTGCGGCTGGTGCAGCCGCGGACGAGACTGGCTGGCAACTGGTCTCTGGATGGCCGGTCAAGAACTGGGCGATCGTCGTGAAGGGCGTGCTGCAGCTGGCGCGCCGCAGGAGCAGGTGGCACTGCGAGGGCGAGGCCATCAAGATCATCAAGGCGCGAGGCCAGGCAGTCACAGATGATGGACGAGGCCCGCGTCGCCCAGATCGAGCAGGCGTTCGCGGCGCCGCAGCAGCAGCAGCAGCAGCTGATCCAGCAGCTGGCGGCCCAGGCCCAGGCGGCCGAGGTCCGAGCTCAGGCGGCGGAGGCCGCGGCTCAGGCGGCGCGAGGGCCAGGGCCGCAGCAGCCAGCCGACCAGCGTGGCGGCCTGCCACCGGGAGTGAAGCGATTGATTGACACGAGAGTCTTCGGGAAACCGCACGACTTCAACGGCGAGCCGGGCACCTGGCGCAACTGGAGCACGATCTTTCGAGCCTACTCCAGCGCCTGCGAGCCGGCCCTGATGGATCTCATGGAGAGGGCAGAACACTCGGACGAGCCGGTGCTGAACGCCACGTTGCATGAGGAGCAAGTGCGTCTCAGTAGCCAGCTCTACTACATGCTAGTCATGCTGAACAAGGGTCTCTCACTCGATCGCATCGTCAGTGCGGGCGTGAATGAGGGGCTAGAGGCTTGAAGGACGCTCGTCACATTCCATGAACCTCAGATCCGTGCCCGGGCGGCAGGGTTGCTACAGGAGTTGCTCTCGTGGGACTTCGAAGGCGATGTCCCCTCGAAGCTGATCGCCTTCGACCGGAACGTCAAGCGTTACGAGCAGGCTGTCAGCACCAGGTTCCCTTACGAAATCAAGATCGGCATCTTGGTCCGCTCTCTCAAGGAGGGCCCGCTGCGCCACCACCTGTTGCTCAGTAGCCAGCGGCTGGACACGTGGGAGCTGGCGAAGGCGGAGGTGGAGAACCTCAGGCGCGCCCAGATGGCGACGACTGCGAGCACTGGCACGGGCTCGGCGCCGATGGACCTCGACTCACTAGCGAAGCAGCTCGCGGCTCTCGGTTTCAAGGGTGGCCGGAACGGCAAGATCGGCAACGGCAAGGGCAAGACCGGCAAGCTCGGCAAAGGTAAGGGCGCCGATGATGTACCAACCAAGCCGTGCCCCATTTGCGGCAAGACGGGCCACTGGAAGCGTGACTGCTGGTGGAACTCCGCGCCTGCGTCTGGGGTCTGGGACGGCGCCACCGAAGGGCGGTGGAGGTCGAGGTCGTGGCAAAGGCAAGGAGGACGGCAAGACTAGCGCTGCACCGAAGCCGAAGCCATGCTGGACCTGCCGCTCGACTGCGCACTTGGCCAAGGACTGCCCGGTCGCGAAGAAGGCCGGCGCCCTCGGCGAGATGGCTGAGCCGGAGCCTCCCGAGGGCCCGGGCGGCCTATTCCGAGCGGCGCTCGACCTTTCGGCCGTGTCCTCGCGCAACGCGAGACGGCGCGCTTCGGGATCGACTCTGGCGCGGCGGTCACGGCGACCCCGCGCTCGCTAGGGGCCGACTACCCGATCACGGAGAAGCCATCAGGAGCACAGTACCTCAGCGCGACGGGCGAGCCGATCCCCGACGAGGGCCAGCGCAAGCTCATGGCGCAGACTGGCGGCGCTCTGCGTGGGCCCAGGTCACGGGCGCCAGGACACCGCTGCTCTCGGTCTTTGACCTGGTGAAGAGCGGCCACCGGGTGGTCTTCGAGCAGGATCAGCACGGCAATGACACCAGCCACGCCGTCCACGTCGAGAGCGGCAAGACGGCCCGCTTCACGCGGAGGCAGCGCACGTGGGACCTGGGCGCGAGCATCGCGCCGGCGAGTGAGGTCACCCAGATGCCCCAGAAGCTCGTGAAGGACTTGCCGCTCTGCTCGGTCGAGGGCTGCGGCGGCTGCGATCGGCTGCGCGGGAAGATGCAATTGCGCCCTTTCGGGCGGCCGGCGCGGCCGCAAGACCGGCGACGATGGCGCCAGCAGTGGGAGCTCCTGCGCTGCCCGGCGTCGTTTCTCTGATAGGAGTGGTACCTCATGAAGTTGATGATGGGCAAGTTGCGACCATCGAGAGACATTTTGGCCCAGTTGCGGGCAACCCGCCCCTCCAGGTGGAGACGCCGAGGCAGGGGGTGACGGAGTTGGAAGTGCAATCGAGTTCGAGGGTGACGCCGAGGAGCGCCACGAGTCTCAGCCTGCCCCTGTTCGGGCTCGACGCGGGCCGATGGAGCCTACTCAGGCAGAGCTCGAGCAACGCGAAGCGGCAGGTCACGCCCCCTTCCGGGACTGGTGCTACTTCTGCATGGCTGGGCGCGGCCGTGCTGATGGCCACCCAGCGGGCGCCCCTGGGAGAGCGCATGCGATACCTACGTTCGCGGTGGACTACGGGTACCTCGCGAAGCGGGAGGAGGTGGGGCCAGGCCAGTCAGCGCCCGCCATCCTCGCCGCATCGACTCAGCCAGTTCTCGCGTCAGCGCTGCATGACGTCCTCCAGCCCAAGGGCACCCAGCACGAGTGCAACGTGGCCCGCGCCTTCAGTCAGGTGGAGGCGACCGGCCACCCGAAGATCATCTACAAGTCTGATGGTGAAGGCGCCTTGGTGGCGCTCAAGCGAGAGGCGACGATCCGCCTCAGGAACGCGAAGATCGAGGTCGTGCCAGGGCAGGCGCCTGCCTACGACAGCGTTAGCAACGGCCTGGCGGAAGTGGCAGTCAGGGAGGTCAAGGGCGTCGCACGGTCTCCGAGGGTCGCCCTGTCCCTGCTGCATGGCGCCGACATCCCGAATGACCATCCAGTGTTGACCTGGCTGGTAGCCCACGCTGCAGGATACATCAACCGCGGCAGGATCGGCGCCGATGGCCGGACGCCGCACGAGAGGCACAAGGGCATGGCCTTCCGCAAGGTGCTGCCGCCTTTCTGTGAGAAGACCGCGTTCCTCCCGAGTGCGAGGCGCGAGACCAAGTTCGAGGAGCGCTGGAAGATCGGGGTCTTCCTGGGCGCCACCGAGAAGTCGAGCGAGATGCTCGTTGGCAACGACCGCAGGGTCGTGCGCGCGCGGTCGATGAGGGGGAGACCGCCGAGCCAGCGGGCCGACGCGGCTCCGCTGTTTTCGACCAGGGGCGCACCGTGGATGCCGACCCCAGATTAGCCGGAGAACGTTCGCATCCCGACGGTCATTGACGAGCCCCCCGTCGACCCCACTGTGCAGCAGCCGGGGGTCGTGCCAGAGCAGGTCCCGGCTGAACCTCGGAACGTCTACATCCGCCGGAACGTGGAGCTGGCCAAGTCCGGTTTCACGGATGGATGCCAGGGCTGCCACGCGGCCCGCGCCAACGCAGCAGCGAAGGCCCACAGCCCGGAGCGCCGCGAGCGCATCCAGCAGGCCACGGCGAACGACCCGGAGCTCGCGCCCAGCGTCCTCGGGGCAGCGGCTCGCCAGCTGGAGGCCGCTGACAGAGCGCCTGCGCGCCAAGAGGGCGCGGGCGCCGAGGCGCCCGCTCGCGCGGCCCGCGCGGCTGAGGCACCGATGGAGATCGAGCGACCTGGCCGACAGGCTGTCCCGCGTCGGGATTCGCCTGCGGAGCTGCCGCAGGCATCGAGGCGTCGCCTCGCGGCGCCAGGGAGCCCGGCACCCTGCGCGCCCGCGATCAGCGGCGAGCAGCCGGGGACGCCAGCGCAGGCGCCGGCCACACTGCCGGCGCAGGCAGCTGGGCCGAGCGGGCTGCTGCAGGCGCCGCCTTGGGCTGGGGGCTCCATGGACGCGGACTCGTTGGAGCTTTGCGCGCTGCTGGCGGCTTTCGGCGACTGGAGGGTGGCCGTCAGCGAGCAGCATGGACCAGGGCGCTTCACGTCACGGTCGAGTGTTTTCGACCTCGAGCCCGGCACGGCCTACGACATCAGGACTGGCTACGACTTCAGCCAGGAGGGCGACAGGCAGCGGGCGCAGGCCACGATCGAGCTAGAGCAGCCGCTGCTGGTCACCGGCAGCCCGATGCGCGCGCCGTGGTCGAACCTACAGGCCCTCGACGTGGTCCAGGGTGTGGACGTCAATGCCATCATGGAGCGTGGCATCGTCCACCTTGTCTTCTGCGCTGAGCGCTACAAGGAGCAGATCAAGGCTGGCCGCCTCTTCTTGCACGAGCAGCCAGCCTCATCGAGGAGTTGGCGATTCTAGATGATCTGGGAGATCGCCGAGATGCCTGGAGTACATTACGTTGAGTGTGACCAATGTGCTTGCGGGTTGTGGTGCAACGATTCCATCGGCCCGGCGCTGGTCAAGAAGCCTACGGGCTGGCTGACCAACTCTGATGAGATCGACCGGGAGCTGACGCGTCGGTGCCCCGGGTGCGTTCGGCATTGCCAGACGGTCGGCCTGGGCCGACGCGGCATGCGCACCATCGAGCGGCACACGCCGCGGCTGGTGGCTGCGCGGGCTGCGTCGTGAGGCGGTCGCGCGCGGCCAGCTGGGTGCGCTGGGGGCCGGGCCGCACCTCGACGAGCCGCCGGTCTGGGACGCCTGTCCAGAGTACTACACAGAGATCGTCGACAACATCAGCGGGGCCGCCTTGGACCCCGAGCTTGCGGCAGCTGGCCGCAGGGAGGAGATGGAGTTCCCGCGCGGCCTGGGCGCCTACGCGCACGACTCCAAGCAGCGCTGCCGCGAGCAAATCGGGCGCGACCCGGCGCCCGTGGCCCGGGCGGACGTCAACAAGGGCGACGACCGCAAGCCCAACGTCCGCAACGGGCTGTGCGCGGCAGAGACACGTTACCGCACGAGCATGGATTTGGGGGACCCTTCGCAGACCTTCAGCGCGACACCCCCGCACGAGGCGCTCAGGATGCTGATCTCCTTCTGCTGCTCGCCAAGGAATGCCGAGGAGGACCAGCATGTCCTCATGTTCCTGGACATCACGAGGGCTCGCCCGCACTGCGAGATGAAGCGGAAGCCGCGGGCGAAGCTGCCGCCGGAGGACCCCCGCTCAGCACACCCCGATGCGCGTGGGTTGCTGGCCCGGTGCCTCTACGGCTGTCGCGACGCAGGCCAGAACTTCGAGTTGTTGGTTCGCGAGACGCTGGAGGGCAAGATGGGCTTCTCTTGTGGCGTCTGGTGCCCCTGCATCTACCGCAGAGGCGACGGCAAGCTCGCGGCCTACGTCTACGGCGACAACTTCGCGCTGGAGGGCTCCCGCCACGACAACCTGGAGTACTGCCGCGAGCTGCAGAAGCACATGCGGGCCAAGCTCGAGGGCATGTTGGGACCCAACAAAAGTGCTGGTGATGTTAAGGAGGCTGCGTGCCTGAACCGCATCTTCCGCTGGACCTCGAGAGGCGACGTCGAGCTCGAGGCGGGCTCTCGCCACGCGCGCGTCATGTTGCAGCAGCTGGGCCTCTGGCGTGAGTCGAATGCGCTCTCGACGGCAGGTGCGAAGCCCAAGAGTGCGGACCGTGGCAGGGCCCTGGAGGGCGGGGAGGCGACTCGCTATCGCAGTCTGGTCATGCCGGCCAGCTGCCTCAGCGAGGACCGCCCGGACATCAAGTACGCCGTGAAGGAGGCGGCGAAGTGCGTGCGCGAGCCGTGTGAGCACGGCATGGAGCTGGTCAAGAGGATCGCCAGGTATCTCCTGGGCCGACCTCGGCTTGTCCAGCGATTCCGTCGCCAGCGCTGGTCAGGTGTGCTCAAGGGCTTCTCGGACAGTGACTTCGCGAGCTGCCTGGGGACCAGGAAGAGCACGAGCTGCGGCGTCTTCCAGCTAGGGGACCACATGATCAAGGTCTTCAGCGCGACGCAGGGCAGCGAGGCGCTCAGCTCTGGCGAAGCCGATTGGCATGCCCTGGTGCACACAGCGTCCTGTGGCGTCGGTCTGGTCTCGTTGGCACGCGACATGGGCTATGAGTTAGAGCTGTGCCTGGCTGGCGACGCGACAGCGGCCAGCGGGATAGCTCACCGCCGTGGGGCGGGACGTATCAGACACATCGAGACGAAAACTCTGTGTTTCCAGCGCCATGTGACCGAGCGCCGCGTCATCATCTCTAAGACGCTGGGCAAGGTCAACGTGGCAGACCTGGGCACCAAGCACCTGTCCCAGAAAGAGCTAGATGAGATGCTGGAGCTGCTGGGCTACTACGCGGCTACGGGCAAGTCTGGTCTCGCTCTCGCGGTCGCAGGCAACCTGCTTGAGCCTGAACCGGCTTGCGACCACGAGGGCGACGAGGAAGTGCAGGCGTAAGCTCCGTTAGTGTGCTTCTGGCGAGGCAGCGTATTTTCCATTCAGCTTCGTTATAGCAGCCCGGAGGTCGCCTGGGTCAAGACTCGAGGCAGCTCGACACGGCGGCGAAGAGGGCTGATCGGTTAGCTCTCTTGTATGCATGTTGTAATGACTATGGTTGATCACTGCCATATCTTAGCCAAGCTGCGAAAGGAACATACCGTGTATCAGACAAGAAAGGGTAGGAGGAGGACGGAGGAGCAGGAGGAGGAGAGCAAGCAAAGGGGCCAGAGGTCTCTCGGATGCCTCTCGGAGCCTCTTGGGGTACCTCTTGGGCGTTTCTTGGTGGCCTCTTGGGACGTTTTGGGTGTCTTTTGGCGGTCCTGGGGGACTCTTGGGCGTCTTGGGGGGGGGGGCTTTGGGGGCCGCTTGGGGTCCTTTTGGGGCCTCCTGGGAGCCTTTTGGGGGTCTCTTGGGGCCATCTCGGGGCCAGTTTGGGACCTCTTGGGGCCTCCTGGGCGCTTCTTCGGGCCATCTTTGAGGCCATCGATCAAGCAAGAGGGGGGCTCCAATTAGCGTCCCCCCAAGAGGCGAACATGGGGCCAAAACCTAAATAAAACCAATGATTGTGGTTTCCTCGCCGAGGCCGTTTTGGACGCCCTGACCGCTCGCGACCGTCCCCGTTCAGGCCCAGGGGAGGGGGTAGGGGAAGGAGTAAACCTTCCCGAAGGGGAAAAAGGGGGGTGGAAAACGAAACCCCCTAAACCACGTATGCCCAGAGGGCTGGTGGGACTTTGGCTTGTCATATGTGCCCTGGGGGGCCCTATGCGCACACGCTTTGAGAACACATTCTGTTGGACGGATTTCGACGCGCGCGCGTGGCGGCGCGCGCGTGGCCCGCATGGTATGATTGGAGACGGGTTCGTGCACCCGGCGCGTGCTAGATCGTGCTAGACCAGCGCGTGCTAGATCAGTTGGTGTTCCCATGATGCCAGAAGTTTTCACAGGCAGACGATCGGGGACGAGTGTGACGGAAAGTCAGGGTTTTAGCGCTTGTACATGGAAAAGTTTGCACCAGTGAAGGGAATGGTACGACGTCAACATATGCGCACACGCGTGTGGATTTCGCGCCACCACAGCATATTATTGAACGCGTCTCGTTCGAGATCAACCAGTAAGTGTGCATCATGGCTTATAGGGAAAACGGCGATTGGGGGGGGTCGATCTCCCGTTGGGCTGGGATGGTGTGGATTTATATGGAAAATGAGAAATGTGGCAGAATCAGATGTAAAAGGATCGCCAGCGTGGGCCCCGAACAGGGTGTTTTCAGCAACAAATGTTGTGCAGTCTATGTGGAGCAGTACGCGTGGTGCATTCTATGATTCGCAATCTAGGTTGTGTCATGTATGATGTGCAGTGTACAGTGTGCAATGTACAGTGGGGCCCCATGCAAAGAAACACCCTGCCTGCCTCCAGGGTGCCGTGGGTATCCTGGGTTTCGATGGTTTTGCTACGGAAAACGTGACGTTTCCACACCAACAATCAACGGACGTCCTTGGATCTCAGGGTTGGGTTTCTTGTGGAAGGTTTCTTGTGGACTTGGCCTGCACTGTATGTGGTACACCTTCTGTTGCGCAATCTACGTGGTGCCTTCTTGCGGAACTCGAAGTTGCCCACTCCACAGCTCACGCTATTATCCCACCCACCCACCTGCAACCTGGTTTGCAAAACTGATGACTGCTTGACGCTGGCTGGCGCACTGCTGCGGCCGCGCTAGCGCGCGCAAGCTCGCGCGCAGAGCGGCCAGCTAGACAGGCGCGACACACGCGTCCGCGGTGGCGATGACCGCTGGGGATTCCCCAGCGAGTCTCGCAGGCCGCGCTGGCGGTGCACGCGCATCCAGACGGGATCTCGCGGCTCCCTGGGCGGCTGCGCACAGCGCGACTGTCGTCACCGACGCGGGCCCCTGGAAAGTCCAGCAGAGTGGAGGGCAGCGCGGCAGATAACTTCGAGGCGTCGCGTCCTCGCGGGGACTGCGAATCGCGCAACTGTCGCCATTATCGTGGGCCCCTCGGATGCACGGCGGAGGTGGGGGCAGCGCGGATCACTTTGAGACCCCGCGGCTTCTTGGATTTTCAAATTGCGAAACTGTCGCCAGTTTCGCGGGCTCCCTGGCGGCGCGTCGGGAGTGAAGGCAGCGCAGATAATGTGAGACCTCGAGGCTCCCTGAAGGGCTGCGAACTGCGCGGCCGCCGGCTCTTTCACGGGGCCCTGAGAGGCACGCCGGAGCGCAGGACGCCCACATGGCGCGCCCCGACATGGTTCGCGTTGCAGTCACATTATGTTGCGCGCGCGACGCTGCTGCATCTGTGCATTACAGAGCGTAGCACGCCGGAACGTCACGCGGCCTATGGCGGCCTTCGGTGGAGCTTCCCACGGGGCCACGAAACGTGTGAGGGGTGTCCCGAATCGGGTGCGGGGACGCATGCGAACACCGCCACAGGAGCCTTCGGTGAAACTCCTATGGGGCACGAAACGTGGGAGGGGTGTGCCGAAATGGTAGACGGATGCGAAGAGCAGAGGCGCGCAGGGGAGGAGGGAGGAGGGGGATGAGAAAGATGAGGTGAGGTGGGACGCGGGGCGCTGTCTCGTCAAAACGATGACTCAGCACCACAGAATGGTTGAGGATGAAAATTGTGGGGCGTCTGAGGTCTTGGTAGACACCAGCGTCTGCCATTCATTTTTTCGTCGGACGCAGTGTGAAAGCAACCAGGAGGCGCTGGAGGAGTAGGGGGAGGAGGGATCAAGGTCGCGACATCCAACACGGTGAAGCACCGTGCAAAATCATTGCTGGATTTCCCGTTCCTATCCTTCTGCAGCGCTTCCCGACCGGGATCAATCCGGGAGGGTCTTGGGGCCCGAGACTTGTGCGAAAAGGCGAGCGACGGATGGAAGTGAGAAGGAGAAGGCCTTCTCAGACGGCGGCGGGACTTCTCAGGATCCCTCTGGCCTTCTGAAATTGACTCCGCGTCTCCGGGGAAGATTTCGAACACTTCTCGGAAGGCCTGGGGACTTCCGAGCCCTTCTGAGAAGGCCCGCCCCTTCTCGCTTCGCCCCCTTGGGCTCGCCGCCGAGCCAAGGCCACGCCGGTGGGGATAGGGGTCGATCAGTGTTCAGTGTGGCACCGATCCTGCCCGCCCAGGATGACGCCCACTCGAAGGGCACGGTTCCTCGAGTTCGTGACGGCCTGCCCGCGGCTGCCTCCTGGAGGCGCGGCCCCGCACCTCATCAGCGTCCTCCTCCTGCGCCTCCTCCACCCCCCCTCACGCACTCACTCACTCATGGCGGTAGAGCGTCGTCGTACAGCCACCTGTCCTGCCCCTCCACCTCGGCTGTGGGCCCGAGGTGGAAGGGGGGGTCCTTCGGCAAAAGGTGAGAAGAGAAAGACGGGTAGAGAAACAGGGTAAGCAGCGAGCCAAACCGCACCTTGGATCCCCAACCTCCTGCCCATCTGCTCCCCGGAGGCCCCCCCTCCCACAGCGAAGGTCTGAGGCAGCGCCAGAAGTCAGAGGTGGCACCCGGATAAGAGGTAGGGAACATGATGAAAGAGGAAGTGGAGATTGGCGCCTACCGTTTGTAAAAGCCGCCTGGGGGTAGCCGCAGTGGCTGAGGGCCACGGTGCCTGCTCTTCATGGAGGGGAGGTGCTGCAGTTAGCTTGCTCTTTGGGAGTGGGGTAAACCTCCCAGGCGGCACTGCGGATGCGGTAGCGGTGAGCCAAATGACCCGCCAGCGAAGAGTGTATAATGCTGTAGGAGGCGGTACACAGCAGTGGACAACGGATGCATAGCTGAGGATAAAGGATGCGAGTTGCGGCTCAACGTTTGCAGTGCGTATCAAGGGCGAGAGAGGTGGAGGGACATAACAACGCGTGAGGAACAGAGGTAAACATGAGATGAAGCGGTGTCTGTGTATGCCATTGCCATCCCCCCTACCTGCACCACATCCGCATCTCCACCAACACTTCCCACCCCAAGCCCTGCCATGCCTGTCTTCCTCTGAGGTGGAGGTCGTCGAAGAAATGGAAGTAGACGGAGTCAACGAGGTAGGAGAAGTGGTGGTAGGGTGCCCTGCCTGTTCCTCCGAGGTGCTAGTCGCCGAGGAAAAAAGCAATCTATGGAGCAAACGAGGTCGGAAGAGTGGCTGATGCGCATGACCTATGCCATCGGAGGTGGACGTTGATGAGGTCGTCGAGGTCGACGGAGCCTTCGATGTCGGAGGAGTGGTTGGCCAATGCCTTGCCTTCCTCCAAGGTATGTGTCGACGTGGGAGTTGGATTAGGAGGAGCGTTCGGGGTCGGAGGTGCGGATGTCGCACATAACCTTTGGTGGCTGTGTGGGGGAGTGGGTAGTAGTACGTGTGGTCGGCGTCGTGCGCGTCGGCACCTTGCGCGGCTTCGCACAATGGCGATGATGGCTATCGCCAGTGATTAGGGGCGTAGTTGGGTGACGTAGTTATTGAGCTCGTGATCTCCTTCAGCACTGTCTAGACCGTGTTGTAGCTGACCGGTGGTTCTCCTGCCATTGTGGCGAGGGGGTCGAATTTGTCCAGGATGTCGTGGTGGCAGGACCGGTAGTCGGTAATGGTGTCTGCGATCAAGGACTGTTTGCTGCTTCGCATGCTGTTAGCTTGAGTAATGGTCCCACTTGCCCAAAGCTCGTTGTTGTTGTTGAAGGACATGTTGAGTATTGTGACTTCGTCGCCCTCGTTGACACTGATGGCACCGTGTGCAAACGAGTCTTCAAGCTTGGTGTAGTATGGGTAGCGTATCGTGGCGCCCACAGGGAAGGTGATTGTGTCTGGATTTACCTTCTCCTGAGAGATCGTCGCAACTGGGAACCAGCCGGCGGGCTTCCCGGGCTCCAGTTGCATGGGGGGGGTTGGTTGGCGTTCGTGTTGGGTGCAGCAATACTTGGCGTAGGGTCGGACGAACTGGATGCAGTAGTGCACATGCGTTGTTCTCCCGCCGTGGATGATCCCAGCCTGGTGCTCGTAATGTCGTGGTCGATCTTATCTTTTGCGTGTGTTATGTTATCTTCTTTGATGGTCGGCATGATGAGTAGGGCTTTGAATATTGCACGCCCAGGGTCTGGGTTGAGCGTGTTTTGAGAAGAGATTTGGCGAGCTGGACTGGTGTCGCGGGCGAAGGTGCGGCTGCTGGCATTGTGTTTGTCATTGTACTGCCGCTACTGGCAGGTATGGTCGCACGAGCCTCATGGGCTGCGTTGTCGGTTGCAGACGTCGGTGCTAGTTGCACTTTCTGGGTCGTTTCTCCTTGTGAGTTCGGCACGCGGTTCGGGGAGGTCCCGGTGTGAAATTCGCGCTCAAGGATGTTGCGGTCGTCGCATGGTGCAAGTATGGGTTTGGGATTGCGCATTTGCTCGATGCGGCGGAGGATGAGGCATGCGCGCGCGGGGGGGGTGGATACCAGCCTCACGCATCGGTGCGACAACGAGCAAGTTGTCTCCGAAGATGATGAATGGCTTGCTGGCTGGACTGAATTCGAAGTGGGAGAAGAAGTTCCCTGGTGCCTGCTCGCGTATGGCTGGGTGCTCTGGCATTGGCGGGTACTCGGTGATGGATGGGGGATGCATGGGCCTCGGGCTGCGGTAGAAGCTGCCATCCCTGTTGATGCCGAATGCCTCGGTGTTCTGGTCGGTGGGCCGCCGAATACCACATGGGTCGTAGCTGCAGTCGCCTGGGAATTTCCACGGAGTGATGCCAGCGTCCCTGTAGTAGGCGAGGGGCTTCTCTGCAGGTCGGCGCGCGGGGCGTCCAGCCAGGCGGTAGTCTCCCATATGATTGGATTGGTCGGGTGGGAGTGCGTTGCCTTGCTTGCATGTTGGTGGGTCACTGGGACGGGCGTCGTGCGTTGTTGGTGGGTGCATGTTGGTGGGTGCACGTTGGTGGGTGCATGTTGGTGGGTGTGCGTTGCCTTGCTTGCATGTTGGTGGGTGCATGTTGGTGGGAGTGCGTTGCCTTGATTGCATGTTGCCTTGCTTGCATGTTGGACGGGCGTCGCATTGGCGAGTTCTGCCTGGGGGTGGGGCCAGGCGGGGGAGGCGGCTGGTTGGCAGTCGGAGCAGTGGACTGCTGGTACAGGAGCCGGAATGCGTTCGGCGCAGGGGCGGGCACGGGTCGGTGGAGTTGTGGAGCGGAGCGCTGCTGAATGATCTGTAGGTCGGTGGGCGCAGCAGTCGCGCGCGTTGGGCGCCGTGCTTGCTGTGGTCGAGCGCCCAGGAATGCCGCGTTCCACTTGGGGATGTTGTTGCGGGCCCAGTTGACGGGCTCAAAGCCTGCGTTGTGTAGCTTTGTGGCAGTAATTGAGAAGGTGACGATTGCCGCGGTTCTCCTCGTCGTCGATGAGATGCTGTCTTGTTTCGTGGGCATCCGCGTCGCAATGCTTGGCGACGTCGGTGACCTTTTATAATCTCGGTCGGTTCCCTATACTCGGGCGCGCCGCAATCAGGCGGCTGTCTAGTCTCGGCGGGGGCCCCCCCGTCGGGGGCGAAGTCCACGCGGTGAACGATGATCTCCCGCTCGGTGGCCTCGGCGTGGACGTTGGTAGATCCGTCGACTCTCGCTGTGCAGGTCTCCGAAGTGGTAGTGACCTCCTGCAGAACTTGCGCGGGGCATTCGACATGGGCGTTGTCAGTGATGGCGGGCCATTTGGGCAGATCACTGATTGGCGCGCTCAGCTTGAGGATCGCAACGTGATTGGTATCCCTTGTTGTAGTGGTGGCGCACGGCATGGCCCCTGTCCATGTCGATAGCAGAGCGGTGTCTCGGTGGTGGCATAGGTTGACTGGTACTCGTTGTCCTCTCAGGTCGGTCTCGTCACAATGTAGTCCACTTCTGGTTTGTGGCGCGATGTTCTAGCGATCGATGGGCAGGGTGCAGTTGTCCGCATACGGGTGGAATGCTCCTCCTCCGCGGGTTCCAATGATGTCTCTTGCGCATGCCGCAAATATCCCTATCTCAGAGGTCGGATGCCGGGTGCCGTAGATGTCGGCGGTCGCAACGATGTAGATCTTGTTTCTGTAGCGCTCGATGTTGCTGTGAATGGTTTTTGGCTCTATCTCCACGAAGTTATCGCGCTTCTCCGTGCCCTTCTTTGTGAAGATGCATAAGGTCTGTAGGTTGGTGACCAGCTCCCCGTCTCTGTTCTACCACGGTGGTGCTTGGAGCTGCGGTGGGTTTGCGCTTGCGAGTGTCAGGATGTCCTGCCATTCCAAGCTGTGGACGGGTATCTTCTTGGGGTCGCGGTTGTTAGCAACGTCTTCTGGCGCGCGGTACTTGGTGGCCGAGCGGTAGCGCGGGCACTTGTCAGGTCTCTCCATCCAATGGTCCGCGTCGGTCCACGTCTCGTTGTTGAAGTGGACCAGAAGGCTGTCGTAAACGGTGTCCCAGCTCTCCTGGGCTTTGTCCTTCCAGCATTCCCCCGTTGTGGCGAGGTAGGCAATTGCGATGTGGCGGCTGTGAGTGGTTCGCACAAATCCGCACTTCACTGCAGCGGGGACGCGCATGTAGTCCAGGTCGAGGCAGACGTACGTATAGTGACGCGCGAGGGCGTCGGAGGCGTTGGTTCTTTGCGATGACCTTGCGATGCCTGAGCACGCGGTAGCACCTCGTGGCTCGGATCGTGGGTCTCCTGGCGTGTAGGTGAGCGCCTTCTTGTTGTCGTAGCCCTTCATGTTGGACATGGGGGTAGGCAGTCCCTCTCGTTGGTGCTCTGGTGGAGCTCGCTCCGCGTCCTACGTGGGGCTGCGTTGATGGCTGCGACTCGTCGATGGTTAGCGTGGTCAAGATCTTTCACTCCGTTGGCGCAGTAGAGCTCAACGTCGTTGAAGCCGATATACTTCGGCGATTTGCCGCAGACTTCCGCGTGTATCCAGATGTCTTCGCCTTGATCTTCTCTAGGTAGGATGGCGCGCTGGGGGCGCGGGTCCAGCGGGGGCTTCATGGCGCACTGCGCGCGGCAATGAGAGGCGCCAGGGGCGCGCTGGTCAGCTTAGATTAAGCTCTTGAGCCGAAATTGGGCTACGGTTGGTGCGATGTGCACCGGCGTTTGCTGGTGATGCGGTGTGATGGGTGAGCAATCGGGTGCCACGGTGAGGCGCGCCAGAACCACTGCTGAGGTAACGGACTGCATCCTACGCAATGGACCGCCGCTGCCCGCTCTGCGGGGTGGCAACCGCCCGTCGGGGTCGCC